ATGAATTAAAAGGGGATGTATTGATTAAAATTGTCTTTGTTTCACAAGGGTCAAAAAACTTTGCTTACTTTGCTGTGTCTTTTGAACAGAAATGGAAACAAATCATCCTTTTAATCATAAAAGTGATTTAAGTTGTCCCTGAACCTACACAGAAACCACTTGTTCTCACTTTTTCAATGCATTCTTTGAACATCTTGTGCTTGATGTCTCTGTAGGTATCTAATCCAGTCTGAACTGCAGAAAAATGTCTATTCAATCTTCAGCTTGTTGTGAAATGATTCCTTTCAAGTACAATGATTGTAATGTCTGTGCATGCTGCTTGAAGTATTACATCTCGAGCTCCTTGCATATATAATTCCATCAGTGTGTGTGTTTGACAGCTGGTCAATAATGTTCTCTCCTCTATCATGCAACATCCCATATGGGAAACATCAACAAGTATGATATTAAATATGGGCATTTTTCAGTCATTGCAACAGGTTGGAGTGAGTGTTTATGTATGTATATTTGGAAAGAATATTGTATACTGCTGATATTAATAGACAATAAACCGATTTGAGTCAATGTAAACTGTTTATACGACTCACGTGATTGAAATAAAATTGAAATATAATTTCTCCAGCCACTGGGATTTAAATAACATTGGCGGGGAGAGTTTGAAAGGACTTGTTAATGGTTCCAACATAAATTATACTTTTTAGTCACAGTAATTGTTTCTCACAGCTTAAGATAACCACTGTGTCAGTTAGTGCTGGAAAAATTAAATTCCAATTGTGTTGAAACCGTCAGTTATTGTGCTCAGTGTGCATACATGACAGCCTTAAAACATCTTAACTACTCAAATACAATGGCTGTTTCATTTCGCCCTGCAGCAGAGGTTAATTGTAGTGCCCACTAAGCTCACAGTGTCACTTTGTAATGGGATTTTGGATAATACTATTCTGCTGAAATGAGACAGACTGCAGCTCAAACAAGGTGTTGAGAATTAAGTTTATCACTTAACTTTGTTTGAATGGTTTTATTTTCTCTTTTTTTTTCATTAACTCTAGACGCAGTCTTTATCAGCTTTTGGCAGCAGCTCCTGTGCTGGAAACAATCAGATGACTCCGGAGGATTTTTTTAAGAGGGAGTAAAAGAGTCTGAATTACTTCTGTGCGAACGTATAAGTAACTCAAATAGTGTCATTTGACATGACTGGGGGCTCCATTTGTCAGGTCATGAGTTGAGTGGAGAAATAAGGAGAAGCACTTGCCTGCAGGGAAGAGCTACTATTTCAGCCTCGTCACACCTCATCAGCTGAGGCCACAAACTTAACACTGAGGTGTCTGTGTCCCGCTCACTTGCCGTAGCAGTGTCATGTTGGAACCAACTTCTCTTTCATAACCAAAAAGGGAACTTCCATGACATTTTGATTCTGATCTGAGACAAAATGTCTTGTGTATCTTATGGGATGGAATTCTTATGCCATCTTTTGATGATTGTGAGTATTTTACGTAATTTCATGAAGTGAATTCCCAGAAAAAAACCATGGGTACCACCATGTACCCAACCTAATCCAGTGTACCAAGCTGACGGATTTGTATCTTTTGTAAGCATGAAATGATTGTAAATCAACTTCAAAAGCAGCGCATTATGTAACACAAGACCTTCGGAACAGACAAGAAGTAAGGAACAAGCTAAAACTACCACTTGCCTATTGGCCTATTCCTTTAAGACTATATAGGTATGTATGGTAAATATAGCTACCACCAGCAGTAGGTTAGCATAGCTTAGCAAAAAGACTGGAAGCAGAGGGAAATAGCTTGTCTGCTGTCTCCGGGTAACAATATCTTTCTACCAGCACCTCTGAAACAAAATAATTAACACGTTACATTAAAACGTTATATCTTGTCATCATCTCAGGGATGTTGCCAGGCAACCAGCCAAGACTCAAGGAAATGACTGCACCTAGCCAAGTCATTATAGAAAAGAGAAGATTGGATACTTGGCTCAAGAATATTTGATGAATAATTATTTGAATAAAAGAACACACAAACGATGAACATGTAGGTATACATTTCAGATTCAACAAGGGAAAGAGGATTTCAACAACAGGTTATCAGTATACACAGCATAATGACAGCAATAATTATCAGTCTTCAGTGGGCAGAGGCGATCAAACCAATCAGTGTCATAATATGGTCAGATTTAATGAACAGTTAGAGATGATCTCTTGGCAGTGATACGTAATGACCCAGAGTGTAACATCAAGGTGTTCAACACCAAGGATGCAACCTCGAAGAAAATATGAAACAAGAAGACAATGAGGACCTGATCCAAGCAGGGATTGTATGTAAATATTCTTATTGTTATTGATGTTATATATTTGGTGGAACAGTGGAAAACTTACACTGTGTGTGTGTAATTTCCCTAAAAGATCTGCTTGTCTTACTTACCCAAGGCATGAACAATGGCACCTGAAGTCACACACACTCTGTGGGCTTTAATTAGAATTTCCTTTGACGTATTCCTGCTCTGAAAAGACGTTTATAGGCTATATTGGCTATAATGTCTCACTATATTAACCTCTTACTATAAATCAGTATAGTCCTGAAATTCTTACTTTATGTTTTGAGTCAGAATTCCAAAGCTATAGGCCAGTGAATTAATCCTCTTTCTTGTTTCCAAAGTGAATCTGAGGATGACGATGATTGTCCAGTAAAGCGCCATCAAGGTCTGGCTGCAACTTCGATAGCAAGAGAAGAGGAGGAGGATGAAGAAAATACATGGCATAACAGAGAGGAGACAGATAAAAAACATCTCAGAGTCATGCCCACCAGGGAGCCTGGCCCCACCTCTGACACCAGTGGCTCATAATCTTCCATTTCACTTTTCCAGCAGTTTTTTTAGCACCTTTGTTGTCGGTATTCCAGTATTCTTGGAAACCTTTGACGGCGACTTCTACATTTTCCTGGCCATTACCATCGTGTCAGGGCTCGTAAAAACTGCACTCCAGAGTGGACTATTGGAGAAAGGGATGGCCATAGAGCTTCAAATTCCCTGGGGATACGATGACGCGGGATCGCTTTGAAGCCATCCTATGGTCCCTACACTTGCAGCAACTGAGAAGCAGACAAAGCAAATCATCACAAGAGGAACACTGCAGAGTGTGACAGACTGTTCAAGATCAAGCCCTTGTACACTGCGATAGTGAAAGCCTGCAAAGGAAACTTCCAGCATGATCAGAACATTTCCATAGGTGAAAGGATGGTGGGGTCTACAGCTCGCATAAGTGGGGCTACTCACTATTTGTGCTTGCGGACTGCAACGTGGGCGGTGTGGGGACGTCTGAGGCTTTGATTAGCTATTATAGCGACCACCAAAAAGCTATGAAATGGTACAAGGCCTTCTTTTACCATTTTGTATATGCTACAGTCAACAGCTTCCTCCTCCACAACGAACTGTACAAGAAGGAAAAACAATCCCACCATCACTCAAAGGCGCTTCAGGGAGAAGCTAACTGCAGAAATGCTGGAGTTTGCCAAAGCATCTGTAGTACCTCACCCTCAACCACCGAGACAAACCTCCCGCATGCCTGTGTACTATGGAGACGATAGCACCCAAGGGAGGAAATACTGCAAGAGGTGCCTGGATGCCGGCCTCAAAAGGATGAAGACACCTGTGTACTGCATTAAGTACAATGTCTCTCTGTGCTTAACTTCTTAAAGGAACTGCTTCAGGGACTGCCACAACAAAAACGTCTAAATGGCCACACTTTTCTTCTGTTGTTGCTCATGGGCAGAGGACATTATCTTCATCAGAAGCTCTGTATATGTTGACTTGTCAGAACGTGTCATCTTTTCAAACATGTGCTCCAGAATGTAATATAAATCTCCATTTTGAGTCAAACTTCAACGCCTTTGTCTGTTTTTTCTTTAATGGGTACATACATAGAGGTCTGGTTGATCTTCAAAACAAAGCCAAAAACAGTTTTAAAATAGAATGAATACCTATAGCAAGTGAAATTAAATGAGTTTTACACTTTGGTACCTGAGAAATTTCTGTGGCCAATTTGGAGATTCACAAGCCTCTTCTAAAAACCTTTTGCTCTGCTTTATGTGATTAGCGGCAGTCTTGGCACAGGTAATGTTCAGATGTTGTGCTAGAGGTTTTGGGCAGCAACTGTAAAATACTAAAGAGGATATTCACACCATACTGATGGTTAAATCAATACAAAAATCTCACAAGTGTTAGCTTTATTATGATACCAAAATAATAAAATGAAATACAACTGGTTCTCAAACTATGGTATGCGTACCATTGGTAGTACGCGAGCTGCCTCTAGTTGTACGGCGATGAATCTGAAATATTTTTATAAAATGAAAAGATACCATGGGATCGCTAAAATGTAATTTAAAATAAGTGTAGTATTTTCTGTAATATTTTGTTTCAATATCAACCTACTGTGTAGTCATTGTCATATATTTGCGCTTGCATACGTCCATGATTAGTCACCAGTTAAAATGTGATGGCAAGACTAAGCGGAGGTAAAATAAATGGTTCAAAAACACCCATTCAGGATTCAACGATAAACAATCTTATTAGTAATAAACCGGCCTCCTGCGTGAACTATCTGCTGATGGTGGCTAATGGAGAGCCTAAAATTTCTAAGGTGGTGTAAAAACTTTGAGAAGCACTAATATAGACTTTGTAGTAGCAGATATACTGTATATTCATTTCGACGATGTCATTTTTGAGCAGGAGCCAGAGGCAAACTTTTCAAATGTATAATTTCATAAAAAAAACGTGACCTGCAATTTGCTCTTTATTGCGTAATTCATCAGGTTCTTGATGAGAATAATTTTTTTAAGTGTTTATTGTTAATTGAATAATTGAAGCTCGTGAGCGAAAACTAATGACGTCAGCTTTTTTTTTTTTAAAGAAGAAAAACCTCATGTCTGAGCTGCAGTGTGTATTTCACACAGTAACCATAATGTCTTACTTTGGCATCTATTTTCCAGCCTGCTTGAAGAAATGGCATCCGCATTAGAGCAGCAGTGATCTGGACCAGAGCCGCAGCAGGGATGAATGCATCAGATCAGTCCTCCTACCAAGAGGAGGTGATGCTGGGTAACTCCACCTGGGCTTATTACTCCTATCACCAAAACTACACCCTGTCCCCTCCACTGCTACCAGACAAGACCAGCACTTCCAAACCTGCAGCATGCGAGCAGGTCCACATCGCTATAGAGGTATGAACTGCTAGTGTGGTGCTGAACACAAAGATACCCTATTCTGCTGTAACTGTTAGCATATTACTTTACTCCACTGGTCCCCAACCTACTCCTATTGCCTTGGTTTGTTTTAATAATAATAATGAAAGTCCCGATGAGGTCAAATTTCCCAGTGTTTCTCAGAAAAAACACAAACGTTTGACTGACCTCTTTCCTATCTTGTTAATTATCCTGTCATCACTTGGATTTATCTTGTGAAACTTTTTGTCAGTGTTCCCTTAGAGGCTAGTTTTGGAAAAATCTGGAAATGGATAAAAATAAAAAATTAAAATAATATACAAAATAATAATAAAATAAAACTAAATAACGTAATGTTAGTTATCTCTTCGACATCAAGTCTATTTTTACAGAGAAATTCTCATTTGTACATGCATGCAGCCTATTAATGATCACACAGCAGTCATGGGTTTGAGTCTGACCTGTTGCCCTTTGCTCCGTGTCATCCCCTCTCTCTATACCCCGTTTCCTGTCAGCTGTCCTATCCAATAAACACAAAAAGCCCCAAAAATAAATATATAAATATAAAAAAAGAGTGGGAACACTGTTTGTGAGGGGTGTAATAACACCTTGGGGCCATGCTTTACTCCATTTAGACCCCCCGGCCATTCTACACATCTTTACTCTTCCGTCCTTCTGTTACACTGTGTATCCCCCTTAGGTCTTTCTGATCCTGGGTATCATCTCCCTGCTGGAGAACATCCTGGTCATCACAGCCATAGTAAAGAACAAGAACCTGCACTCACCCATGTACTTCTTCGTTTGCAGGTGAATACATACAATATAATGCAATATATAATGTCAGAGTGTTGTATTGCCCTCACTGTAACACTTGTTTTGGACCACAACTTTAATTAGCTTTCTTACTTTCCTGTTGTGAAGGTGTGTCAAGGTGATGGGTGCTGGAAGAGTCTGTGCGTGTGTGTGTGTGTGTGTGTGTGTGTGTGTGTGTGTGTGTGTGTGTGTGTGTGTGTGTGTGTGTGTGTGTGTTGGCTTGTGTTACAGAAAATAATGAGTTTTAGTTTTGCAGCCACCTGTTTTATGCACATTTTGAACTGCAGTAGCCCTGAATGAAAATATCACTCATTAAAATACAAAGCTCTGTTATGCAATTAATTTTTCACACTGATTGTGGCAACGCAGGCCTATTTATAAAAGTGAAGATCATTTGCACATCTTGAGCTCAACACAACAAATTGTCATGATGTAGGATGTTTATTCTTCCGCCTTGCCAAAATATCACACAGTACGCGTTGCCAGAGGAAACAAATAAATCCATGAGATGAGCATAAATCATGTACTAAATGTGAATGAATTAAATGCCACGGTGAGGCTAGAGTTATAAAAGATACATCACAACTTAATTACTCAACTCAATTGACACAAATTACCTGTGACTTTATTTGGATCTGAGCCATTTGACTTGAAAGACAAGAGCACGTGTCAGTTGACGCCAGTAGTGTGTTCAGACGTTCAGGTCACTGCTTTGATGTGACTTTATAGGAATTCTTTAAGGTATGTCTGCAGAGAGTGACAGAGGGTTATGGGGTCACAGCATTGCTATGTTTTATTTGAAAATGCATTTTATTCCCTTACTTAGTTTTCAGCCATGCTAGGAGTCTGCCTCTATAGGTATGACATCATTGGTTGGGCAGTAAATTTATGTAACAAGTATTGGATTACATTTTTAACATTCATGGTCTCTCAAGGATAAATCCCAATGAGTTTAGAGATCCTCCGGCTGGCACCATGAGCAGGGGCGTTCCACTAGGGGGGGCACAAGTGGGGCACTGACTTATGCAGTTGTGGCATAAATTATGTGTCTCAGCTTTCTAGTCATACCCAATTTATGCAATTCCAACACTGTTTATGGACCTAATTTTGCAGAAATATTCAAATACACTCGATGGAAATAACACTTTTATACCATATGCAAAAAACATCATGGTCACCCAAAAACAGCATGGGATTAGCATAGAGTTGGTGTGTCTGTAAAGGGGAGACTTGAACCCATTGAACCAATTTTCATTGAGATATCTTGAGGTCAGAGATCAAGGGACCACTTTGAAAATCATCATTAGTTGTTTGGTCAGTAAAAAAGTAAAAAGTGTTCATCACTGTTTCCCAAAGCCCAAGGTGACATCCTGAAATGTCTTGTTTTGTCCAAAAACAAAAGACATTGAGTTTGCTCTCATAGAAGACTAAAGACACCTGGAAATATTCACATTTGAGAAGCTGAGCTCAGAGAATATTGACTTTTTTTTAATTCAAAAATTAAAAAAACAATTGATAAATTATCAAAATAGTTGCTGATTAATTATAGTTAATAGCTAATTGATGAATCGACTAATTGTTGCAGCACTAATACCCTCTCTCTTTTCCAGTGTCAGCTGTAACAATGCAACAGCGTTCCCCAACCGCAAAGCATTGTCAGATAACTTTATGCAAAGGAGGGCTAAATTCACATGTTGGCTCCACAGTGATTTCCCAAAACAATGACAAGGAAAAAGTGGAGTAGTGCATCAGGAAGTTTACCTGCTGTGGAGACACCTTTGTGGAGAAGATGATCATTATTGTAGTTTATGGAATCCCTTTTGAATGTCCCTTGCCTTCTGCATCTTAATCTGCCAAATTACACTATGATTGCTAATTAACAAGCTTGCTAGCCTGTGATCTTTGACACAGAGATGAGAGAGAAGTGGGGAGGGGGGGTTTGCCTGCAGTGGCTGATATGCATAATGACTGAAGGGATGGCAGGCTAACATACTAAATTAAGATTGTGAACATGGTTACCATTCCTTGTTAAACATCAGCATGTTTGCATTTTCTTTGTGAGCTTGTTGCCATGTTAGCATTTAGGTCAAAGCCCCACAGCCACGAAGGATGTGGACTACGTCTTGTTTGTTTTTTGTTGTATACTGCTTCTTTCAAAGCCCATCATTGTTGTCCACTGTGTTACGAGGAATCCGTGGGCAGAAAGCACATGAACTAAAATGTACAGATGTGTGAACATCCATATTTATCAAGGCTCAATTGAACTTGTCTGGTTGTTGCAGTCTGGCAGTAGCCGACATGCTGGTGAGCGTGTCCAACGCCTGGGAGACCATCATTATTTACCTCCTCAACAACAGGCAGCTGGTTGTGGAGGACCACTTCATCAGGCAGATGGACAACGTGTTTGACTCCATGATCTGCATCTCTGTGGTTGCGTCCATGTGTAGCCTGCTGGCCATCGCTGTGGACAGGTAACAGTTCCATGCGAAACTTCCATTTTCAGCACACTGATACACACTGTTTCATTTGTTCCTTGATTATTCCTCCAGGAGAAACTCTTTTGAGGGCTTTTAAATTAAATCGACTTTTTAATTGAATTCCTTCTCATAAGCGTTAGTGTGCATAATTAAATTTCACTGTTTTGTCTTGAAATAAGGTCACTCTTTTAGTTCAGCCAATGAAAATGTTACTTAACTTACCCAAGGTTGTCAAACAACAGAGGCAGTGCAATGTAATTAGGTAAGAACAGCAGCATATGGTGCCCATGTTACCTTGTCTTCAGCTCTCCCAGTTTCGTAATATCGGGAAAGAACAGAACTCATGTATGATAGTAATTTCTGAAGAAGGCTCCTGAAGAGGAATGTGTAATTTGGTTCTGATTACCAGGAAAACGGAGGAAATGTTCAATTGGTGCTCTTTCAGTCAATTCCAGTAATGAATAGTGTAGCTTAATGTTCTTTTATCAAAGTAACCCTCTTGTAGTCAGTGCACAGCTGAACATGCAAAAACGTCAAACTGGTCTGTCTGTGTGGTTGTCAGCAATACAATTGAACAAATTAAATTTCAAATAAATTAACAAACATTCTTTCTTAATTATTAAAACGCTTAAAAGTTGTTTGGCATGGTACACATGTGTGCACATGAGCAGGACAGTATCACCCCTGACTTATTTTGAGCCAGGATAAACTTTGGAAGATTGTCACTTTATAGTTACATTGACCAGATAGGCTTGGTACCCAATCATTTACACATAAATTCATGAATAAATTAATAAAAGTAAATGACAATGTTGTGTTATTGTCTAGTAAAGCTTGGCTAGTAAAGGAAATAAACATGTTATTATCTACAGGTACGTCACTATCTTCTATGCGCTGAGGTATCACAACATCATGACAGTGAAGAGAGCCGGCTTCATCATCGCGGGAATCTGGACCTTCTGCACGGGCTGCGGGATCGTCTTCATCATCTACTCAGACACCACCCCCGTCATCATCTGCCTGGTCTCAATGTTCTTTGCTATGCTGCTCATCATGGCCTCCCTCTACAGCCACATGTTCATGCTGGCGCGCTCGCACGTCAAGCGCATCGCCGCCCTGCCTGGCTACAACTCCATCCACCAGCGGGCCAGCATGAAGGGGGCCATCACGCTGACCATCCTGCTGGGGATCTTCATCGTCTGCTGGGCGCCCTTCTTCCTCCACCTGATCCTGATGATCTCCTGTCCGCGGAACCTCTACTGCGTGTGCTTCATGTCCCACTTCAACATGTACCTTATCCTCATCATGTGCAACTCTGTGATTGACCCGCTCATCTATGCCTTCAGGAGTCAGGAGATGAGGAAGACTTTTAAGGAGATCATCTGCTGTTACAGCCTGAGAAACGCCTGCACCAACATCTGCACCCTGACAGGTAAGTACTGAGAGACGTGGACCGGTGACAGGATGGATGGGATGAACTGAATGGATCTGGAGCATAACCATGAGAGATTCTAGCAAAATACACTGTTTAAGGACTGGTTCGTTGTCACTGCTCAGTCAGTACAGTGAACAGTCGAGCACATTTTTGTCTTTTTGAAAGGGGACACGCAGAATATGCAGAAAGGTTAAACTATCTGTCTTCTAATGTATTTGCCATGGAAACAAAGTGGCTAGTTTATTAGGTACACTATCTGAACTCACAGCAAGGACCATTTAAAATTCCTTTGAAAGTGTGTCACAGAATACTGTTTGTGGCCTCCCTTTCATTCTAGCTGACATTTCTTTTATCCTCCTGCTGTGACCTTCTTTTTTAAATCAGTGAGCTGTTACTACTCTGTGCTGACAGAATATTTTCCATCATTAGTAAACCTTAAATGCGGTTGTGTAAGAGCGCTTATATACTTGCTTTTAGGTACCGTTCGTGTTGGCGTGCTCACGATGACTACCCCGCATACCTAGCATTGCAGTTACCTGAGTTTATATGAAGTCTGTCTCTGCTGCTGCTTTTTGTGCCGTAATCTCAACATTAAAGGGTTAAGTCTCTCCATACGTGATAAAAGTTGTATGAAGCCTTTTGTGACTCCACAGGTCTGATAAATGCCCTAAAGCGATGTCACTTGAGTCATGTCAGTTGGGGCTGAAGACTACAAGATTAAAAACAAAAAAAATCTGGAGGTTGAGTTGGAAAGAAGTGATGTTAGCAGATGTCTGTAGCCCGCTCCTCATCTCTGCTTGAGGTTAGTGGCTCCAGAGTAGATTAGCCACTAGCAGCACAACACACCTAAATCTCTACCTGAACTGTCAGCAGTTGAGTTGCGCTGTGGGTAAAATAGGTGCCAGTTTTGAGAGATAGAAGAATTAATGTAATAAAAGAGAGGATGTTTCTGGTTCTGCTGCAGTGATTTTAATACTTTTTTTGCAAAATAATTAACAATGTAGTTACGGTGGATAGACAAAATTACAAGGTCGGGCAGAGTTCACACAGGAAGGACTGGACAGGTCAGAAAACTGTCAAAGTACTTTTGTAACAGTTTAGAGGTCACTGACAAATATTCTGTCCTGCTAATAGGAGCATCAGATTAAATTAAAGATGAACGGGCCCTTGAACTGTAGTTGCGTCATGCTTACACCATATGGTGTAATTCAGTTGATGACTCTCATACAGGACTTACTTCCTGTTTCCAGTAGGTGATACTGTGAATATGACTGAATATTGGCATGTAGATGTGTTCAGAAATGTGAAATTTGGAAGTCAGTTAGAACAACTTGGCAAAGAGGGGGACGTTTCTGAGCCATTTTGCCACGCCTATGTGCGCTTGCTGCTCGGGTCCTAAAAATGCTCTTACAAGTAATTTTGGAAGACAAACCTCTTTGTTATTTAGTACAGAGGACATAGCAGCCACTACACGAACACACTGTTAAAAAGCAAGTATATAAGAACTCTAAACAAACAAGTACTACAAAGGCAATCTTATGATAAATGAAAAAGAAGAAAGGGAGCACTAAGCTCACAGTCTGCCAGAGGTTTAAGGAAAAAAAAAATAGCTGTGAGGATTCACTTTTGAGCTGATCATGTTGATCCTGATGTACCTAACAGATGAACTGCTCATTTGGTGGATTATGTGTTCACCTGAGAAACCACAAGGTAACACATGTTGGAGGCTCCTCAGACATGTGTTACCTTGTTTGTGAACTGTAACATGTCAGCAGCCAACGTCCCCCCGGCTGCTGCATTAGTTCCACAGTTAACCAGCAGCTTCTTCAAACCTGCCAGCGCTCAGCAGCCGCCTCAGCTCTGTTTTGAATGTGGAGTCTGCCTGTATCTTCGTGTTATTTACAGCTGCTCTATTCTGTCAGAGTGCCCCCTGATGAGCTCCTCATCCACGCTCTGCATTACACTATGTAAAGATGCCATGAGGTTACACTTGAAATGTAAAAAATGAATGTACAAATAGCTTAACAGCGCTCTCTATAAGATTGTGTTAGTGGCGCCTACCTCCCAACTGAGAAGCTTGACAGAACTTTATCACGAAATGCAACCATCTGCTGAAACTGCTCTTCATATGAAATTCTTCATTATGCATCATTTGTTGGTAATAGATGCTAAACATTTGTTTCTCCAGTGTCACATAGTTTTATTTATTGCAAAAAAGAGCAATCCATTTGTATTATTTGTATCTTCAGACCATTGTTTATGCATATAGACGATGAGATAGGAGACGAAAACAACAAACAGTATTAAAAGGATGTTTTTTACGTATTGTGTTGTAAAGGCCTTGCTGTAGCTTCCATTAATGTTTATTACAAGTGCTTTGCAATTATGATATTAAAAAGAAAAGCATATGAATAGGCACACAGATGTACATCATGCTCGACATGGAAAAGTACTTCAGTTAGCACAATGATATATGTATTTTCTTTTCTCTATAGGTTTACTTAATGAAGAAAAAACTGTGATAATTACATTGTACATTCACCTCCAACATGACTTATCTGTGATTCATTGTTATTGTTGATTGTGAAGTACTTGCTTCTTGTTCCCGCAGAAACAGCAGCAAAAACACTGAACGTGATACGACATCGGGCCGAGGAGAAGCCCACATGATTGCATGCTCAGTCCCATGTTTAATGTGCAGTGTCACGATATTAACAGCTGCGGGGGACATCTTTCATGTTAGTTAATGGTTAAGTGACGGCATGCAAAAATATAAATGTGAGCTTCAGTTGAAATGACTGATGTTAGTGTTGGCCATGTTGAATAATAAGAATTCTTTTATTTATGTGTCTGAATAAAAGCAAAAGGTAAAATGGTGAGCTGCTGTTTTCATATTATTGTTTGCATCAGTAGCTGTGCTGCTCCTGTGAGTGATGGATTTCACAATGTCATGATCTATGTGGAAAAAATGATAACAAGTTCTTTGAGGAAAACAGGTTCTGGAAAATATGTGTCTTGTGTGAATGTGGTGCAGATGGGTAATTTTAAACAGGATTTGAGGAGACTAACACTTGGGGTGAAATGAGATCCCATCCGAGTCCTGAGAGAAATGAGTGGTTAGACGGGCAGATGACAGTTATATAATGAAAACATACACAGTAACACTCTGTTTTGCAGGGGTGCATGCAAACACACACATGCTTGTTCCGCCATAAAGATAAATGCTGCCCTTGCCCTCACCCATCCAAAGCTGCTCAGTGGCAGTACAGGTCTATGCATTGTTGATTCCAAGGTGTAAATATATGCAACCCCATGGATGTAAAGCACATATAAAGTGTAAATAGATTTTCTCTATGAGCACCGCCTCCATTGGGAACAAAGCAGCATCTTCCTGAAGGTGTGCCTGAGCTCAGCAATGCGGAAGGCGTAGATGGCTGGGTCGACGACAGAGTGACTCATCAGCAGCACCACGTGTAGCTGGAACAGCGACCGGTAACACTCGCAGTATGGGTTCATGGGGCACACCATGATAATGATAAGGTGGACGAAAAACGGCGCCCAACACACCACGATGGCCCCAAACAGGATGGTGAGAGTCAGGGCCCCTCTCATGCTGTTGCCCCGCCAACGCTGTTGTCGACTCCTCCCGCCACTGCTGGTGGGCAGAGCGGCGATCTTCCTGGCATGGATGCGTGCCAGCATGAACATGTAGACGTAGAGGGAGCAGATGATTGCCAAGGAGATGATAAAGAAGGCAACGAAGCAGATCATGATGAACTTGGAGTCGAAGAATCTCACCATGAGCACGGCCACCACCCCACATGTTGTCCAAATGATGCCCAACATGGCACCAGTGCGCCGCATTGTCATGACGTTGTGGTATCGAAGTGCATGGAAGATGGTGATGTAACTGAAAGTGAAAACAAACATTTTATTTTCTGTTCAAATTATCTTCAGTCTTTTGAGGTTTCATTTGCAAGCTTTAAACCTTCACATTTTTGGGTCTCTTGGTGGGAGCGGAAACAAGTTGTGAACCCAACGTTAACATAAGATTATTGATATGGGGAACTTAGCAAACAGTTGCTTATTTACACATCCAGCAGACCCAGAACAACATTAGCATTCATGTGGAGTGGTGTTTATATCCACCTGATGAATCTAAGTTCAATATTCACTTTCTTTTAGCTGTCTTTTTGGTCTCTACCTACTCCTGAGGGAAAAATCGGGCTCTGCTGAATGCTCCATTATGTTCACCAGCTAGACGCTAAATGTTTCTGTCTTCTGTTTGGTGCTGAGCAGGTAGTGTACAGTGGATTTTTAGAACAACACTATGAGAGTGCTGAGAGTGAACCAAACAGTAAAGTTGTGGGCCAGACAGCTAAACAATGAGCTGAAAATCACTATAAAGCTCTGTGACACAATGTCACATTATTTTCACATTGTCATGTGATACATTGTTAGTGCCACTTTAAAGGACCAGTGTGTAGGATTTAGTGACATCTTTTGGTGTAATTACGCATTGCAACTCCCTCGTTCACCTTCCCCTTCCTAGTGTGATGAGAAATTATAGTGGCGGTAAAAAACGCAAACACACCTAACTGGAGATAGAAACATGCCGGCTCAACACAGTGGACTCCATGGAAGAAAAATGTCTCATTCCACCAAAAACCCAACGATTCCTATATTCCTATATTCCTAGATTATACACTTAATCTACTCTACTAGCCAAACAGATGGAATGTTAGCAAGGAGCAGCAGCTCACTCCGTGCAGGTAACTAAAAGCAACCGTGATGATGACGATGGGGATGGAGTGTTTGGACATCTCATTATTGCTACAGTGGATTCATGTCATTTTTGCTGATTGGATTCAAACTGACAGCTGCTGGATGAAAACATTATTGGTAAGTTGTTACATATTCATTATTTGTGATGACAGGCCTGTCATAGCGGCTGACAATCGGGCCTTTAAAAAAATAGCGTTTATTGCTGCTTCTACCGCGAGGACTAATTATTGTAGTAAACAAATGGCAGGACACACATTGCTTACAGACTAGTAGACTAATTTGTAGTCATGTCTGGGGTTGATTATGTGGCTGTACTGTGGGCTATATGGCTGTGTGGCTGCATGGGCATCACTGAATGTCAAAGGCTGAATGCTCGCTGGTTTAGTCGATCTTAATTTGTTTAGTCTTTTATCTGATCATGGTTCTGGTTCAGAAGTTGTTAAGCTTTTATAAAAGCAGGTTGCTGTTTAATGGTAAATCCATGGTGGTGAAAAAGCACATCACATTTCCACCCTCCCAGCCAAAGGGCACACTACAGTAATAAGTCATCGGCTCCGCGTCTAAGCTGTTAAAAATATTGATATTTTTTCTTTGGTGGAGACCAAAACAGAGCTAAAAAGAGAGTAAATATTGGACTTGTATACATTTGTCAGGTGACCACAAACAAACCTTTGGCATAAAATTTGATTTCAGCTTCTTCTGCTTCCCCTTAGTAGCCAAAAATCTTAGATGAATATTCAAATGTTGTTCATTTCTAAAGTTTCACTGTAAAGTCCATTCTCAGTGGATGTGCACTGGTGGCTTCAAGTTTCTACATCATACTGTACAAGTTGCACACTGGACCAGGACTGACTTTGAAACTATATGTAAAATCAGATGTTTAATGAGCACAGAGAAACTTTCCACTTTCAGCAGATGAATGTGAAAACATCCTTCTAGTGTCAAACTCTGCAGAGACATCATTCAAATATCTCACTGTAGGAACAAGAAGAAACACAGATTGAGTGAAGGCAGACTTGAAAGTCTTAAAATTTGTTCATATTTTGTGAACGTACAAGGGCAGAAATGATGCTGGGAAAATCTTTGAAAGGACTGTAACTTAAGCCAATGAACTCGCTCATGTCATGTACACATCATGCTGCTACAGACCGTTTTTCAAAGCCCACCACAGCTTTTATTTGTATTCCTACCTCATAGATAGTCTTTTCAATTTATATGAAAATTTGAAAGACTTGACTTTTGTTTGAGATAGGCAATCCACTAACCTTTGCATAAACCTTCACTGAAAATCTCTCACTGACTATTTTGTCAGTGCAGTAATTCACAGGCCACTATCATACATCAGATTGTACAGCTTCCCAAAAGCATTCCCACACCCCAGCAGGAAAACAAAGTCATTGCATACAAAAAGTAAGGTGGCTGAACTTTCACATTATGTGAATTGAGGATGCCTGGAAGGTGTGAAAAAACCCATGGTGAACAGTAACAGGGCAGTAATGTAAAGTGTACATGACTTGTGGTAAACCATGCAGAACCTCTGCTTTTAATAAGCTGCGGCTGCATGAGCCCAGAGATAGGTTCTGACTTTTCCAGATTCTCCCAGGAGTCCTAGTTAGTGAGACCTGATGGTTTGAATCTAAACATGCACAGAGGATAATTGGTTATAGGGCTCACAATCCACAGAGAAACAGTTCAAAACAGCCAGCTCAGCACTTTTTTACAGTCTGCAGTATGCCTACCACGGTCCTGCTTTCCTATACAGTCACTGAAGCCAGTTTTTCCTTTGATTTCAAATGGAACAAAATAGCTTTCAGCATCATGGAGCCTTTGAAATGGTTATTCCAGTGGATTAGCGGGCTGGAGTCGGATACATTCACAACATCACAAATTTAAATCCATCTTTCACGCTGTTAAATATACAGTTTAAAAAAACTGTTTATCTAAAACCTTCTGCGGGCAAATCCAAGCCCTATATACATACCGGTCCACTGCAATAGCCAGGAAACTGAAAATGGAGCCCACGAACGACATGCAAAGCAGGGAGTCCATCACATCATCCAGCTTCATCACAGAGGAGCCTGTCTTCTCCAGCTGCCCCACATCGGCGAACACAATCATCAGGGTCTCCCAGGTTTTGGAGAGGCTGGCGATGGTGTTGAAGGCGGCCAGGCTGCAGATGAAGCAGTACATGGGCGAGTGGAGGTTCCTGTTCCATATGATGGCCACCACAACCAGCAGGTTCTCGGCTAGGCTCACTACGCCGATGGCCAGGAAGAGAGGGACGGGGACCTTCACCTCGGGGCAGTCCGACTGGTTCACTGGGTTAGCATTCATAGTTAGCCAGGATGGTGTGTAGTCTAGATTGAAAAGCTGATTAACATGAAAATTACAGCTGCCTAGATTTTAACTAAGATCTGAAAAAGTTGAGAGAAAAAGGTTCATGGGATTTTCATTCATTCTTCTCTTAAAATGTTAATAGAGTGGTAAAGGTTAGCCTATAAGAGTGTTTTAATCTTGCCTTAATCTTCTACTCAGTGCACAGTGTAGTTTAGCGTATTGACCGGCAATGACCAGAAGTTCAGTCTGACCTAAAATGGTGGTGGCGCTCAGTTGATACAGTGTGACTGTTTCCCCTCGAGCAAAGGTTTAAATTTAAAGAAACACACACAGGAATGATGGCAACAAGCTGCTCTCTACACAGGGTATCCATGGGGTCTTAAGAAGTCTTAAAAATTGATTGGATTAATGAAGTTAACATTACTTGTATGAAGCTGCAGTTTTCAGTGTTTTAAATGTGTTTTGTAAGTAGGTATTAAATTGCATACATGGTCTTAAATTTACACACAAAATTAAAAGTCCTTTTCACATACGCCCTATTTCAGCAAAGTTGGAGCCGGGGGGGGGCTTTCTGCAAAGCTTAGTCATGATCTACAGCCATGTGGCCACATCTGCCTCTCCTCTGCTGTTTACACAAGGGACATGCGATCGATTTTTTTCGAAGTGTTTTTGTCAGACAGCCAGTGTTAGTCCAGGGCTTACAGACACTCAGTTATTGGTTGACATGTGATGGCAGATTGCTGGTGTTTGAAGCCAAGTCGATCCAATCCTGCTTTCTCCTTGAGCTGGGTAAGAATAGCTGCTTGATGCGTCACCTGTGGAAGGACAAGTTATTCAAATCTTCACTGGTATAGTCCTCCAGCTTACTCAGACTCAATAACCACGCTTCCAGGGTTTCACATGCTGAATTCAATATGAATCATATAGCATTTTGAGTTCATCCTTTTCATTACAACTGTGTTTTCTCTTTGATGAGCAGTGTGACCTTTGAGCTGAGGTCTGACAGCTCATCTGATAATATTCTGCCCTTCAACTTAAAAATAGTTAGCTCCACCTCTGTAATTGGACGGTGTTCTCACGGTTATGAAACACATTTAAAAGGGAACATTTTCTGACTATCATAATCATAATTAAATGATGGAAATACTCTGTGATCTGGGCTGTGTGTCTGAATTCCTGCCAGGCTGCAGACTGAAGATGATTATAATAATTATATCAAGCTTTTATCCAAAACCCTCTGATCCCTCCTTTCCTTGTCTCTGTGTTTTCAGATTTACCAAAGGTGCTGCATTAAATCCAATACAAGAAACTTTTAAACTACTCTGCTGCAAACCCCCTCAGCCTCAGATATAGGCTTCTTAATTGCAGAAATGACAGCACAAAAGCAACCTTTTTTCAGTGCTTTTTGTTGGATGCTTCTGACTTTCTACAACTGAGTTCGCTGGGAAATAGACCTTTTTACAGCCGAGATTATGGCATGTCCTAAAAGCACAGCTTTCACTGATGTCATTAAAAATAACAATATACTTTCAGGGTCTTGGTGTTGTGTGTGCTGGCTCACTGTCATGGTTACTGAGACACTAGATGGAACTGGACCATTGCTAATAAGAAGACCTATAGTAACAGTGGCATGTTCTGACACGGGGCATTGTGGGCAATGGATTGTTGTGTGCACCATTTTTTTAAAATCTCATGTACCCCGTGCAATACTCCAAAGTACCCCTAGGGCTACACGTACCCAAGTTTGAGAAACACTGGACCAAGGTTTTGACGCAGATAATTTCTTTTGAGTCTGTGAAGAGTATATAGAGTCTACAGTAGAACAGCAGCTCGGTGAGGCTGTGGGCCTACTTAGGTAAACAGTGCTTTGAGCTACATGCTAACATCAGCATGACTACATGCTGATAATGATAGTGCTAACATGCTGATGTTTAACGGCTATAATGTTCACCATGGTTGCCATCTTTGTCCACTGTGTTAGTATATTTGCTAATTTGTGCTAATTACAAAGAACAGCAGAACAGATGGGTCAGTGTACTTTGTGGCCAATGGGTTTTTATTTTGAAAATAAAAACAGAAAATGAAAAAAATAACCTGATTTGTTCCCTGTATTTATAAATGGTCAGCAAACAGCTCGTTCCCGATTTTGGTTTTCTCATTTTTAAAACGAAAATCCATTGGCTGCAAAGTACACTGACCGTGATGGGAATATAATTTGATATGAGTATTGGGCAAAATGATGACGGCACTATAGGAAAAGTTAATGGATCACCACAGTTATTCAAATTCATCCTGTGGGGAACAATGTCTCTACCAAAGGTCATGGCAATCCATTCAGTATTTATCAAGATGTTTCAGGACCAAAGTGGTGACCAAACAACCAACCAGCACTGCTTTCCCTGCCACCAGCATTGATTAAAATTTAGACAGTGTATTCAAGATGTAAATCTCAGCTTTTACTGCACTTTCACTAAAGAAAGAAAGAGTCTGCGTGATCTATGAGCCAAAAGTTGCACCCACCGCTCAGCTTTAACACATCGTGAAAAATAACAAATAACAACCCTAAAACAGTCCTGACAGACGAAGCTGTGGTAATGCCTGTTCACATTGTCATCTGTGTTGTTCACAGTCCCTCAGGAAATCACTTCATTGTGTTTGATGTGTCTCTGTTTGTGTGTGTATGTGTGTGTGCGTACTTCTGTTATAGTGAAGGACAGATTAGAAAAATACTGTGATATAAAGTGTGATATTTTGTCAGTTTCTACCTTATCATGGTGCTAGTGATTCTGCTTGAGGCACATGTTTTTAATGAATACATCTGTACATACAACTGTATGACGCTTTATTTTCGTTTCTAGTTTGTGTTATTCAGCTATAAATGTAATTATAATTTTGTTGTGAAAACGGAGTGCAAACTTTCATTTTGTTGTACAACCTTGTGTTTTTTAATTATAAATACATTTCCTTGACAAGTTTAGATTAAAGTTATGTTATTATTATTGTATTATTATTAGATTTAGTATTTAGTATTAGAAAATTAGTACAGTCTATGAAAAAGTATAATGCAATACATAAATGTAATAAATAATAATAATAATAATAATAATAATCTAATACAAACCTGTGAATGTGTGTGTGTGTGTGTGTGTGTGTGTGTGTGTGTGTGTGTGTGTGTGTGTGTGTGTGTGTGAGAGAGAGAGAGAGAGAGAGTGTGTTAATATATCCCCTCCTGGCACATGGTCAATATTCAAATGTCATCAAGCTTAAGGTCAAATAAACCTTTGGGCTAAAGTCTGCAGCGAGGTTATTGATTAAATGATTAAATGAAATTGATTAAAACCTTAAGTGTTTCATCCCTTCATTTATGTCTTTCCTGTTGTTAAGGATTAAAAGCATCCTCCTGATGTCATTCTAGTGATTTCAGGCAATTAACACCAGCACAGCATCTGCACACATTTCTCTACATTTATACGTGCCAATGCAGTGTATTCCTTCAGCCATTAAACTGAGCAGCTTGTTATGCATTCCCGCACATCCACCTCTACCCCGATGCTCTTATCACATTTGCATTCTATGAATATCCTCTGCTGAGGCAATGGCAAATTTTGCCCCAGGCATCATTAAAGTTTCATCAATTGACTCATTGTCTGTATTATTCAACACGTGTGGGTTGGAAGTTTCCCTTGAAATGGGAGCAGAAAAGCTGGAATTGTACTCTCTTTGTACACTCAAAGTTCTATGCTGGTAAACAAAATGACCAAATAAATTACCAGAACTTCCTCCTCTAAACAGACTACTAAAGGCTTTAAAAAAAAAGTTATAAAAAAAGTTAACTGAATAAACCATGAGCACCAAAGTTTTAAATGACCAAATAAATGATACCTAATTGATATGTTTTAAATATTATACAAGTAATATTCATACTGGTTTAAATAAACAGTCTGATATTATTTCCCATCTTTGTTGGTCAAGGAATTAAAGGCCTGTCTCATATAAAGGCAGGTTATGATCAGTGACTGAAGCAAATAAAAGCCTGAGCTATTAATTGAAGTTAGATGGTAATTACAAAATTGCCATGTAATTTATATTAAGCAACTGATAACATTTCAAAGTAACTCATTCAAAGTCATTCAAAAACAATGGGCTAGCTGAGGTCAGGTCTCTGTGCAGGCCACTTTACTTCTTCCACTGCAGCAGCATTTTTCCCCATTTCCCACAACGTTTATTATTGTAACCATGACGATGAAGGTCCCCTAACCTTGAGGAAGTGGTCATTTTATCCCAATGTTTCCCTAACCCTAAGTTAGCACTTTTGCACCTAAACCAAACCAGACCATAACCCTAGTGTTGCCACATCATAAAAACGATTTATTATTAAACAGTAATTTGAAACAGTTTTGGAAGGCAGAGCAACAGACAATGTCCTGTTTTAGAGGGGTGTAGGATCAGACTTATCTGTCGTTCGAAAGGGAATGGACAAATGATAAACAGTATTTTGTTGTTCAATTTGGAGGACTTGTTGGATAATTAAATGGGGATACCATTGCACACTTCCAGTTCATTTGTTTTCGAAGCCATTTATGTCTTGAGCTCAGTTGGACACACAAGCACTGACAGAAATAGTTATTTGGAGAATGTAAAAAGAGAGCTTGAGAGAGAAGTTAAAACCCTGTCAAATTTCACACCTCCACACACATGGTCAATCATTGCAAAAAGTCGCTGTGATTGTCAAATTGTTTTGAAAAATTACCAAAAAATGTTGGAATGACCTTTTCGGTGGTGGTGTGAAAGGGGTTACAGTGTGCACTTTTCAAAAGTATTCGTGGCTGTTTGTATGACAAGTGACAGAAGTTGTAGCGAGAGAGCCTGAGAGAGCTGTTCTGTCTTCCTTTCACACCTCCATACACTTGGTCAGTCGTTGCATGAAGTGCACTTCATTGTCAAATTGTCTACTTTGGAATGTTACAAAAGTTTTCAAAAGCAGCCCCCCTTACTGCTATGGGTGAGGGAATTTCAGACGCAGTGAAAATCTGGCAAGCATATCATTTAAATCATACTGAGGCCTTTAGTAAGATTGGGCACTCATGTTGGTCAAAAAGGCCCAGCTTGCACTTGCCACTCCAGTTCATCCCAGTCCAGTACCAAACTGGGAAAATAATTTCTTTATGCTGAAACAGGGAAATTGTCATCACCAAACTGAGCACCCTACTGTCCGCTATATTATCGTGTGTTGTAGCTTTGAGAATAATAAAGGCGTGCTTGATTCTCAAAGGCTTCTTTGGTAGTCACAGGACAACTGACAGAAGTAGCTGTGAGAGATGTGAGACAATCCAGCAAGCACTTTGTTTGAAGTATACTGAAGCCTTTACTGCAGTTGGGCACTCATTTTGGGCTGTAACACAGTTGGCAGTGATGTTAGTTAGGTGGTCAAGTTCTTCCACACCAAACTGGTAAAACCATTTCTTTATGGAGCTGGCTTTATGCACAGGGGCAGTAGCACAGGACCATGGGAGTTGGCCCTACAAGAAACTTTTATTTTGCGTTGATCGTGGCGGCCCCTGAGAGGCATCAGTATTAAATTGAGACTGTTTCATGACCAGTTAAAAACTCCTTGTAGGAAAATCTACTGGACGTGACGGACGAGGTAATATTAGAGTTTTATACACATTACATTAAGTCGCATTCACTGACTTCCTTCCTCACTCTGTAACATATCCCGTGTTAACATAGAAGTTAAAGCAACTAGAGGCGAGCAAAATATGAAACATTACCTAAATAAAATTAGGGATTTCTTTGGGTTTGAACATTGTTGGAAACATTTGGGATAATGTAAGTACACAACTCAACAAAATGTATAACATAGGTCTTGTCGTTTTTAGTAATTTAATGCAAAAATGCTACATATTATAGCTTAAAGTTTTTCCTTCACAGTAACCATGAAACACCCCAGACCAAAACAAGTATGTACACATAGGTGTCCTAACCCATTTGGGTGTCCACAATTTTGTATGTCTCCCTGCTTTATAACAAAGGCATATTTTAGCACATATCACAGCAACTATTGATCAGGCATAATAAGAAAGACATCAGCATGACATGAGACCATGTGATCAACACACACAGGCCTTCATCGTCAGAGCTTCTCCACTCTTGCCATTTCTCGCTCCGCCCATACCCTTCCCAATGCCGAAACCCACACAGATCTTATCTCTGTCCCTCCACTCCTATTAGACATTTCTGCATCCCCTTCATTACCTCCCTAGATTCTGCTCTCCACCTTTTTTCATGTGCGGGAGATCAAACAGCTAGCTTTACAAGAACTGACATGATCTATCCTCCCATGCTGCATGATGAGAAAGACAAAGGCTTTGGTATGCACAGCAGTACTACTAATGTCATATTATTTTGGCTCAGCAGCAGCTTTGATTAGATCACTAAATTAACCGGAAGAGGTTAGAATGTTTTTGCGTATTTGGCACAACACACACAGCCAGTGAGAATGGGTCACTAATAGGTGTTTTGTTTTTTTTTGTGCCAGAAATATAATTGTAAACCTAGTACAGGTCTCAGAAATGGGCTGGAGTATAAAAACCTGTGTTAATTATGTTCCCATTTCCGTGAACTTTCTCACAATTTCCTATTATGGAAGTTGCTGAACCATGACGATCATTCAATCGCCCAACTAGCTCGCATTGAAAGGTGATCAAAGCCATATGGTTGAGCCAGAACTGCACAAAGTGGGAGCAGGAATGGTAATGGACGGAGCTTTAGTTACATAGTGTCAGCTCTGTCCACCTCTGTTTGCTGTCTTTTCATTACACAGTAAGCCCAGCTTTTACCTGCTATTTTCTGCTTCTACTTTAAGGTAAAAGGTTCAATAAACCATCCTAATGTAACCTTGATTGGTCTCGCAGGTTAGCCACGGTCACGCATACTCTGTACTCTTTATTATATAGCAACATTAGGCTTTAGAAACTCACAGCATTGGGTTTCTGGGACTTATAGCTATGTGAGCATGCACTTACAGTAATGCACTCCTATATTCTGCACTCATAGACAAAACATAGACAGACATTTAGTTTGAGTGTCCCTGCTGAATCCTTCATAAGACATTGTTAATGTAAAAGCTTGGATTAAATAAAGATGTCTTACTTGTTCCTCACTCCTGCTGCCAGTTGCTTAAACAACACGCTTGTTTAGAAGCCCTTTTAGAAGATGATTGGTCTTTTTTTGGCTATCAATTTAGCACAGCATCTCAACAAAAGGCACTGATACAAGTGCTGAAGAGGGTTTTATGCAGTGGTTTTGATTTAGAGACAGGGAACACTGTTGTTGTAGCCTTGAAAGCCTGCCTCACCAAGGCTGTGACGCATGTTATTTCTTTGTTTTTCTTTTTCGTCAGCGTGTCCATTTATGATATCAGCACAAGGACATTCACTGCCTGTCCTTTCTGTCTAGACAAATATCTCATTGTTACTTTTAAATAAATGAACACAACACATTGTTATATCACAAATGTATTAGTCCAAATGTGGAAAGTAAGATCCAAGTCTTCCAGCCAGCAAAATTGATGGTCACTGTTTTTTAGAATTTATAAGTGAATAGAAAGCTGGACAGAAATGTGCAAAACTTAAAATTTATACAAATCTTCTTAAAGAAGATTCGGTGAAATTCCACAAAAGCTACTAGCTGCCACTTCCCAAGATACATTTGTCAGCCATCCAGGACATTTAATCCATTTGCGCCCAAAGACTGCATAAAGATAGATGATAAAAAAGAAGAAAATGCCATAACATTTGTTCTGATTGGTCTAAAGTCTTGATATTTGGTATGGACATACTATGGACCAGCATCTAACAGTATAACTTTTTAGATTACATGAGAAATTACACTTTTATCAATGGTCAAAGTTAGGAAAATTAGGAAAAATGCTAAAATTGTGTTTATTAAATGTTTTCCATATGAAATTTATTTTTACACTGCGTATGTGTGCATGTCTTTGACATTGTGCTCCAATACAGCCAGTTTCTTATGATACTATATCTAGTCTTTGATGATGAGACTTCTGTTTTTTCCTAAAACTGTAGGAAAAGGCCTAGAATAAGCAATAAAAAGTTATAGATTTTCATTATTTTCAGTACACACATGCAATGGGCTCCTATCTATATATTCCTATTATTAGTCATACAACAGGAGAAAACATTCACTTGAGGGGCCATTTCCCATTAGATCTTGCTTTTTTAAAAATAACTACTGACAACCACAGACACAGGCCACCCGGAACTTACCATATGGCCAAGTGCTAGCGCAGTCAACGAAGATAACAATTTAGCAGATGGAAAACACTTGTTCTGCTGAAAGGCCTCTTTTGTATCATCATGCTGTGATCTTGACTATGATTAAAACATTTCACACTTGTAGTGAAGCAGCAAGTGCTGACATCTGAAGGGCTTCACTTGTTCTGTAACATTCATTTTGCATCATTGATCAAGCCTCACCCCCACCCCACCACCTTTTGAAGTCCTTTTGAGAAAGGCTCCCTGACCTACTGAAAGTAGCCCTGCTGGGCTGATGTGCTGAGAGAAAGGCATTACTGAGATTGCAGTGTGGGTTGAAAATGTGAGCAGAGTCTATGCTTGTTGGGGAGGTCAGGTAGGAAGGCTGAGAGAGAGGTAGCGAGGGACAAGGATAACAAAAAGGTGGAGGCAGAGAGGCAGAGACAGTAGCTGATATAGAGTGACAGTCATAATGGAGGCATGTGTGGAGGAGATGGAAGGCAGACATTGTGGTTGAGTATGAACTTTAATGAGTCACCACCACGGCGTCTTCGTTCATTGGACATACACTCTGTCCCCATCCTCCCATGCCTCCCTCACTTTGGGTACCTGCATGGGCAGAATTCACACAGCCCTCGTTATTCTCTGTGGAGATCAGCAGACATACGTTATATCACAGGTAAAAGCAAAAAAACCCATTGGTACATGAATATCTTGCCCCCTTGTCTGAGTGGACTCTGTGATAAACCACAGACAGAAAGGTGAATGTAAATTGTCCAGTGTCATAATTCTGCACTGAGTGACAGTTTGGCTCTGCAGAGAGAGAGAGAGAGAGAGAGAGAGAGAGAGAGAGTGCTGTGTGTGGGTGTTTTAAAGGTTTTCTTCTTGACAGGGGATATAACAAATCCTGAGCTTTTCTCTATTTGAAATTCATTCAGAGATATGACTGACATGCCATGAGGTACAGGAATTTGGTTTGGTTAAGTTGGTGCAGGCACATTTTAACATCTCATACAACAAGATAGATTTGTAGTACCATACACAAATACAATACATAAAGACAACTAATTTAGGGCTGTATGTGTCTCTGTGTATACAGAAAAGCATGCTGTTATTAATGAATAGATAGGCTGAATTAAAACTAGGGCAGTTTGTGTTGAAACTGTTGAGATAGTGCCCAGCAATAATTCGGCTTTTAACTTTACAATAATTTAAACAAGAATTCAGAGAAGTTACCATGTAATGTGTAAGAACCAAATAATTAATAAACCCCTAATTCAGAATTAGGACTTTACATCAATCCATGTGCGTATTTGTGTGGCTAAAGAAAAGGTTTCATGGCAAGAAATTCCAAATGTGTTGAGGTTACTTTGCATAAAAAAAACTTTCTGTTTTTAACTGTATTTTATTGCTGCTCTCCAATCTGTAAATGAATGTACTGCAGCTCGGTCACATGAAATAGGTAAGTACACTGAGGCTGGAGTACTGGTTTCAAGAAAATCAGTTTGTGTCTTTATGTGTTAGTCTGTCTCTCAGTACTTTCTGAATTCCCTACCCTGTCTGTGAGACTCCAGTGCAGTGGGTCCTACTGAACATATAGATCACAAAATACTTTCATTTTGCAAAGTGTCTCAGTAATTTCCTAAAGCAGTTGGGCACTGTAGTTTAGAGCAAATGTTATTCAAGTAGCAGAAAATGCTGTATTTGTTGGGGACTATTTTGAGCTGAATACACATTTGGCATTCTGTCAAGTGATTAGTCGTGATTTGGGACAGCAGGACTGTATATGTGGGACTGAGTCAAAATAAACAACAGTGTGTATGTTCATGGTAATGGAAGGAACATGTCACCCAGTGCAACAGTGTGGATATATCAGGCTTTAGTACACAGACATTGAATACTAACAAGTGTACACTTGTTAGTATTCAATGTCTTTGTATGTTGCTTTTGGTCTTCACATTATTTTTGCTGAAAATAAGAAGAATCCTCAGACAAGGATGAGCACAAGGTTAAAGTTGCCTGAGCAACAAAACCTTTCTCTCTTGGCTGAGCTGCTTGTCTGGAGGAAAAAAGTAAGTTTTACTTTTGCTGCATAAATGGATTGATATAGTAATAGATGATATCTGACATTTTCCCCCAGGTGGAAAAGCATTTGACACATCTTTAAGGCCACACTGGGACATTAAACTCCCCACTGAAACAAACAGGAATAATATCTTTCTATGATTGCTTTACATGGTTGCTAGGCAGGCCGTATTTGAGAGGCTATTAAGTAAGAAATCTGGAATAGGAAATGAAACGAATCTTAGGAGAATATTTAGAAATTGCACTTGAGAGACTGTGTAAGGCCTTCCTAATGCTTCTCCATAAGAACCTGATTAGTGTTAGAGCACTTATTTGAATCAGGCTGCTGATCGTAATATGTCAGTGGCATTTCCCAAAGGAAACCTATTTGGACAAGAGGAAATAGGCAGGAGAGAACCAGACGGTGATGGAAAACAAGAGAATGCTTTCGGTGGCTGACCAGTAGAATTTAAAAGGGATTCGATTTGAGGTACTGAGCTTTCTTGTTTCCTGCAGACAGAACATCCTTTGATGATTCAACCGAGGTTGTCATCGTAAGGGTGAGGGTGAGGCCAGATGGATGCAGCTGATGTAGACGGTTATTAAAATGAGATATTTAAACGGTCTTTTGCTGGAAATATACATTGTTAATTCACATTGTGTCACATTTTTAAACAAAAGTAAAATAAATCATCTTTCACTCGTATGCTGCAGAGTTAAAGTTATATAATAGAGGAGTTGATCTGAAGTCTCTCCGGAGGCTGACATTGTCTCTTGGATTCTAAAGAAATGCTTTTTCTGATGGAAAACGGCAGTCAGGTCTGTCTCTTCGATTCCACCTGTTGTCATGAGGGAAATACCTTCCAGCACATCATTAGGGACCAAAGCTGAGAACATATACTCATGGCTGTGTGAGGGAGGGATGACATCAGTCCATTTGAATCCAGATAAATTAAAACGTTTCTGACCTGAACCCTCAGGTGCAAGCACAGCTGTAAGTTTTTATGAAGATAAATTATTTTGTGTGAAACCTCAGACCTTACAGAAAAAAATATATTGCAGTCAGTAATCTTGTTAAGTATGCAACACCAGCTTGGATTCCTTTTATATAGTGAACACCATACATGGAAAACACTGCAATGTGGACAAAGACTGAATGTTCTTTATATGTTTATTTAACTGCTGTGTAACTATATTTCTTCACATTATGTATTTTTAAATGTTTTCCCAAGCCTTCAGGGTGCTTCTTTTGGCCCAGCAGAAGATTTACTATTTTCTCCTTCACAAGATTCCACTAAATATTCCTTTAATCCTTTAAAGACTCCTTACAAATTTCATAACAACTTAATGTTGACAGAACTGAACTCCTGTTGGATGTGAAGGGGAACAAAGATTGTCTTTCATATGAGTCTAACATATGTAGGCTGACAGGTATATAGTGCTCTGCCATGCAAATGCAATTACAATCCATTCATGTGACAATTTCAGTAAATGGACACAATCTCAAACCACATCAGCATTGGAGTTAATCAGTTAAGGCTGCTGTACAGTATATGTGAGCAATGAGTCACAGTCAAACAGAAAGAGTTGTCTGTATGGCACTGCCCTCTAGTGATGGCTCTAAAGTCTTTTTTAAATTCTTTGTTGAGCTGTTTTCTGATTTATGAACAATAACACACTATAACCGCTGATGAACAAATCATTGGCACATGTCTGAGCTGAACTTTCATATTTAAGAATGAAACAGATGAATATCTAAAGAAAAATAAATAGCTTAGTAATAATTAATAGTTGCAAAACATTGCTCTTATACAGAAAAGACTAAGTATGGTCAGGTTCTATTACAGCAATATATAAGGTCATAAGCTTCACATTTTTTCAGGTGTACTGTGACTGTAATTTTTCTTCCTCTCACCTGCTGGTAGGGAAAGGTTCCTTTACAGATGCAATTCCAATGTAAGAAATGGAGGACAAAATCCATATTGCTCTGTGTCCAAATGTATTCTAAAAAATAAATCAGTGTGCCTCTCCAGTGACCCGGAACGCACAGTAGCAGCACCCTGACTCTGTTTGACCTGAATGGAACACAGCCTTCATTAGTATCATTGGTAATGCCTGTGTTTCTTGTCAAAATGGTTGCTGTAAAAAAGGTCAATTAAACATTTTAGCCTTCCCATTTTCACGAGCAGAATGGCATATTTTTACTTCAGTGGAAATCTTACTCAATAAAAAAAACCAGTTCACAGTTATTATAAAAATGTTAAACTTCATAAATTTCAGGGACTTGCAGTACAACTGGAATTTGTAATAAAAAAACACTGAAAAATGATGACATTGTCAGTTCCACAGATTTTTACTTGACTCAGCACACATTACCTCCCTGATCTTATGGTTCCAATAAATCAAGAAAATTATCGTCACAGAAAAGATGTTTCTGAATACCCAAAATGCTAAATCAAGTATATATATATTTTTTTATAATACTTTCATTCTGAGATTGTCTGAATAAATAATCTATTCGACCATTTGAATATATTTTTAATATGCATTTTCTGACAATATAATTAGTATTATGCTTGGTGCAGCATTTGATATGTTACTTTGTCTTTTGATTTTAAAGTAGGCTAATACAGCTCTAACAAAATTGCAAAAAGCGCTTCTTTATATATCACATGGAATTAATGAAGCAATATATCAGAGGAATTCTCATGGGAATCCCCAACTGTGTTACAAACGTTCCATAGATAAACAGGTAAAATACAATATACCCACCACTGACCTTCCTGATCTGGAAATAGGTGTGTCGGGACATGTCCTCTGACGTAAAAAGGCTTGAAACCTTTCTGGTGATCCCATAGGCCCGCTTCCCTACGTCATGACGTCTTGTTGTTGGTGAAGGGGGAGGGGCCGGGCATCGAAGGGGAGCCACCAACCACACCAGCGACAGCGTCCGGAAGATGCTCGTGTTTCATGGGAGGGTCAGTGGGATATAACGTTAATGATAATTGAGCTAAAGGCAAAGCAGACTTCTAAGGACGCTGGCAGGGACATGCGAACAGGTTAGTGAATGCTCGCTCTTAAACGTCAGCTCTGCGGCTAGCGTAAGCTAAAATGAACTGTTAGCTAATGTATGTCGGCTCATTATTACCATATAGGCCTATACAATGTTTAACCTAGCTAACCGAAAACAGGCGCTAGCGGGTTTTTACTGAATTTGACATTACTAGCGGCTATATTATTACTATGCCTGGCTAAAGAGAACTGCTAGCTTGTTTACCTAGCAGTGAGATAAAACTGTTTCACCCACTGGAACAGCTGAAAACCAGTGACCCATATTTTGCTACAAAAGCCAATTATTGCCTTCTTTTTTGAATGTGACACAGCCCAGATAACATTAACTAACATGAAGACACACTGTTAGTCTTACAGGGTGAAAGAAGTGTTACTTTTTGTGGTTGCTATGCGCTACTTTGTGATGACCACAGGCTCCAGGTCGCGGTTTACCACCTTTCAGTGACCTCTCCATTCACTCAGCGGCCGGTCATACAGCTGCAGGTCGTGTGCCACTGAGTCACACTGCAGAGGCAGTGCTGCTCGCTGCTGTGTTTGACCTCCGTGGCAAAGCTGTGACATGCCCACACTCTCACCTCTGGCCAGCTCTCACCTCTGGCTGCTTGTCATGAGATGTCTGTGTTAGTGCGCCCCCTCACCCCCTAAATATTTGTGTGGCAGCTCATTCTCATTACCACTAAAATTCACAGTTTTAACTTAAAACAATGTTTTTTTTTAAACATTCTTAAAGAATAATAGAATATTAATGCATGTGTTGTCAACTGCATATTATTTGAACTTTGTGAGTAATCTTTTACTGAGGCCCTAATTTTGAGAGATGCAGAGATGCATGAAAGTGAAGTTCATATAATTGTGATCAATGTAAGGAAGTCTCCTTTTCCCATTTACACAGACCTGTTTTACTGTAGAACAGGACATCTGCTGTGTCATGTACTTCATTTAAGGTGTAGTGTTTTGGATGGACAAAGCTCAACACTACTTCCTGTTCATTGCTCCAAGTTGTGCTTGTGTACTGGCAGTCGGTGCTATGCTACACACTGCCCTGTAGCAGTGGACCCCTGTTCTATCATTGAGTACACTGACAACCCCTAACTAAGTCACATATTTTATGACTATGTCATATTATATTGAAGGCTTTGTTAATATAGCTTGTGTTCAGGTCTTAAATCTAAAGTTTAAAAATAACAATTACATTTAGTTTGCTTGACAAAAAATATATTGGTGTACTACTGTGTATATTTAAGTTTTCTTACATCCCTTAAAATCAAGAAGGCCTCGCAACCCCCCGTGAAGCCTTGGCGACCCCTAGTAAGGGTCCAGCCCCCCAGGTTGGCAACCACTGAACTAGAGGCTTAATGATTATTTTATTGACAGAAAAATAATTGCTATAGTATATTTTTAAGTGAGAGGGGGAAAAAATCTCTAGTTCCAGCTTTTTGAACATGAGTATTTACTGTTTTGCTTAGTCTTCAGTGGTTGACTAACCCAGTGATTTCCAGCCAGGCGTGCATGTACCCCAAGGGATACCTATGAAGTTGCCAGGGTGTTCCAACTAATTTGGAAAATTTTAGAAATTAAAATGTAATTTAAGAAGCATCTACATATTGAGTCAGCTGTCACACCTGAAGACCAGGTGTTATAATTGAGTGTGTGAAAACTAGTTTGAAAGCGAGCAGATAAGACTAAATAGTTATCTAAAAGTAATGGGTAAATGTTTGAAATGGCCAAGAGTAATTAATAAATAGTTAAAAAGTAAGGTGAATATGGATACATGGTTGAAACATCCAGCTAATAATACCCACTTTTATACAGTCAATAGTGTTGAATTACATCCAGTTTAAACATGATTGGTGGTGTTGATGAAGGGCTACTACAGTAGAGTTAATCTGACTGGACTATGAGGCTACGTCTGAAACACCACTGGACTAACCAATGGAATATTTAGTTTATAATACTTGTTTGGACTGTTGGTCGGGCAAGATAATTGGCAGACTTATGAAGAAGTCACTTTCGGCTCTGGGAAACTAGGATGGACATTTTTCAGTCAACACAGCTGACTGTCTTTTACCTCTCTGTATCTCACTGAGATACCTGTATAAGCAGGGGAATAGTGGCAATACAGAGGTGGGTAAACTAGTTTCCCCTCATTGATTGATACAGTTGATCAGAAAATAGATGAGTAAACTCAGCTTCATTTCAAAGAAGTGGATAAACAGAGTTTACTTGTGATTACGCCCCTGGTTGTATGAAGGCCCAGATTGCATTAGACCTTCTGTGTTGCCCACTTACAACCCCATGTTTTAATGTAGGACAGGAAAATTCAATTTCAGAGAGCATTTCCTGTATCATCAATGATTTTGTCTGTATAAACTGCTCTGCTGTGTCATATGCTTCAATTCAGGTCTACGCCTCTTTTTACATTGCTCAAAGTTGTTCTTTTGTACATCAAGTAATCATGATAGAAAATGTGTTGTCCAAGTGTGTGTGTGTGTGTGTGTACATTCATGTCAAACTATACAATGCTTAGATTCCCATGGGGAGGAAAACAGGATAATACATTTACACTAAAACCATCAAACCACCCCCATGCTCCTTTCTTCCAGCATGCGGTGACTGAGACGGAGGCCTGAAGGCACAGTAGGTCCGTTGGCAGCGGCAGCAGCAGCAGCAGTAGCAGCCATCTAGCTTAGATGAAGGATGAAGAGCCCGGTGCACAGATGCAGGGATGTGGAGCACGGGCGTGGGCAGGGTGGGGCAGGGACCAACTGCCTACAGGCCGAGCAGCGCATCCCTATCTCCAAAGACGTCATCACTTCCTCCTCAGCCTCTGCCATGTGGTTCATCAGGGACGCCTGCGGCATCATCTGCGCCGTCATCACCTGGCTTCTGGTGTTCTACGCCGAGTTTGTGGTGCTGTTCGTGATGCTGTTGCCCTCCAAGAATCTGACATACAGCATTGTGAACGGCACCCTGTTCAACACTCTGGCCTTCCTTGCCCTTGCCTCACACCTCAGGGCCATGTGCACCGACCCCGTAAGTGGAACTTGTTTGGTGCCATTTGTACACACAAACTGCAAATTAGGTGAGAGTCTGTTATGCTTTAACTCGCAATGTCATACAAGTTTAGGGTCTTTAGCTTTATATAGTCCTGATTAATGGAGCTGAAGTACGTTTGGCCTCTACCCACTTAATTTATTATGGTGATTAATAAGCTGCAAATTACACTGGAGTCATCTGCTGTGTGGTCATGTTTCTTGCTAGGGGGCGGTGCCAAAAGGGAACGCTACTAAGGAATACATAGAAAGCCTTCAGTTGAAACCAGGGCAGGTGGTCTACAAATGTCCCAAGTGCTGCAGCATCAAGCCTGACCGAGCACACCACTGCAGGTAGGGCAAAAAGGACATGAAAAGCTCTCTGCTGCATTGGCATTCACAAACCCAATCCTACACTTGCAGCTGCAGTGTTTTGGTGCAGTAAAGATGCAGGCTGTTATCAGAAATTCTGACTTTGGTTAATTTGTCAAATAGAAATTGCTCTTCCAGGAACGTATTGGCCTTCACTTTCTGTTGTCTTTATACACCATTGTCATTGTTAATTCCATGGAGGGTGTGTACAGTATTCATTTTATTTAGATCTAATCCCTTTTTTCCTCACACTTACCTTGCTGTCTTTCTCGCAGTGTTTGCAAACGCTGCATACGGAAGATGGACCACCACTGCCCCTGGGTCAATAACTGTGTTGGGGAGAACAACCAAAAGTACTTTGTGCTTTTCACAGTAAGTTCAATGCAAGAATGAATCTCTTATAATGTGAGGAAGAACTTTCATGGTGTTACATGGGAAGTCAGTAGTAGTTGCTGTTTTAATGCAGTACATATACAGATAAGAGGGATTCCTCAGTGAATACCACTCTGTTTGCAGTTAGTGTATGTGAATGGTTCTTCACTGTGTCTCCTCTTTTTGTTTTGTGAACCTAGATGTACATTGCACTCATCTCTCTCCACGCTCTGGTCATGGTGGTCTTCCATTTCCTGAACTGCTTTGAAGATGATTGGACAAGTGAGTGTTCCTTTTTTTTTTTTTTTTTAAACCTCTGTAGCTCTCAATTCACTAACTCAAAACTAGATTTCTGAACTGACAGTCTTTCTCTGAATTTTTTTTTTTAGGGACATGAGCATTTTATATCAGTAAAATAAAACATATTATGCTTCAATTTATATATAAATGTATATATTCCTGTATCACCAGTTTGTATTATCAACATTGCTTAATTTTCTTTATCCACTATTTCCTTTTTTATTCTTTAGACAAACAGATGTATTGATATGTCATGTTAATGAAGCTAATTGAAATTCATTCATACAAAACCTTAATTTTCCTCCTATGTTTATTGGGTTGTTTTGGGATAATTGAGTTCCGGGGCACAGAAGCATAAGCTCTATCATGCATTGGTTACACAGGCCATACTTTTGAGCAGGATTAATTTGGCCTCTTTATGATATGAAATAAGTAGTGTTTTCCTTGTAGTAATGTATAGTGCCTATGGATAAGAAAAGGGAATATTATAGGATTAATACAGTAATTCATCTTTAGACCTTACAGCACTGTTGGGATATTCTAGTTTTTCCCCTTAGGTCCTCTCTACAGCTATCAAAAAAACAATATTGACAGGTATGAATTACATTTCGTGCAAACATTTCTTTTGGGACTTTGCTGTGTGTGCTGCTAGAGAATTGCCAGGTTTGGTGCTGTATTTTGAAGGAACTGGGTTGCATAGCAGCACACTGAGAGCCTTTGTTAGTTGCATGTGGTCTGCACATCAGCAGACTCTGTCAGCACGCAAGCCACATTTTCAATACTGAGTCGGGCTGACTGTCATGGGAAACATCTAGAGGCCTTTAAACTGCCTGAACCGTTCTGTTTGTCATCCTGGTTGCAATGTACCATACTGTATGTTGCAGCTTAGTTGTGGACCGTTGTCTTGGACTTCTTTTAACATCTCAGCCATATTTAGAGTTTGTTCTGTTAAAGTAGAGGCATTTGTGTGTCATGGGAGAAGCATCAGGTTCCATTGGGCTGATTAAATGCAACAGAAACTTTGTCTGTGGTTTAGTTCCAACCCACAATTAAGCCAAACCCACCTTGTTGTTCCCAAACGTGTATATAACCTACTTTGCACAGCTGGCCGCTAGCATAGTGGTTCTTAAACAGTTTAGCAGCTTAACTCACTAACCAGGTCTTGACTTCAGTATGGAGATAGTGACTAGTGATTCCCTGGCATTACCAGAGGGCTTCAATAGAATCCAAGACTTTTCTGCAGCCAACCCCTGGCTGTTTGTTTTTCCAGATTTATTTAGTATTTTTGTGTATGTGCTAAAACTACAGATACGTTTTTCTACCTGCCTAACAATCCAACCTTAACCTCCTGATCCTGAACACTCATTTGCCTTCCTCTTATACTGAAGCACCCCCAGCAGGTGACAGGTGGGCATACCTGTTGACAGTATTGCTGCAGAGGAGTTACCCGTAGAGTGCCGTAGTTTCTTTGATTGTAGTGTACAGCACTTCCTCATATGGCCCTCTTTTTTGCCCCTTCACTTCTCTTCCTCCATGTCCCGCCATCCCCCAGAGTGCAGTTCCTTCTCTCCTCCAGCAACAGTCATCCTACTCATACTCCTGTGCTTTGAGGGTCTCCTCTTCCTCATCTTCACCTCTGTGATGTTCGGCACCCAAGTCCACTCCATCTGTACCGACGAGACCGTAAGTGATCCATGTAGTGACCAACAGTCCTCCTCCTTTCCTCTTATCTCACAACTTCCTCCTGCTCCCCTCCCTGCTGCTGCCACCCTTTTGCTTTTTAACATTAGCACCTTTGACCTTCTACTTGTAATTCAAACTGTTAACAGCTAAGTGACAGCTCTCATTCTGCAGCCTGATGTAGAATAAGGTGCAGTCTTTCATTTGATTGAAAGAATTGTCTTAAAAGCAAGTAACTGCCAAAAAGAAAGAAACTTCAATATTGGGTGCTTCAGAGGTAAATATGTGGTGTGTGTCAGCGTGCAGCGTTGACAGTGCTGATGGTAAGACCAGTACTTCTGCAGAGGAAGAAAGTGTTAAATGTGTGGATGGTAGCAGGCAGTGGTTGTGAAATCACATTTCAGCCAGATCGATGGTTGCGGCTAAAAATAAGAAGCCTGCTTTGTCTACTTCTGTCTGATACCAAGGATCCATTGCTGATGTCATTGTAAACTTTGCACTTGCTGCATTTGGATTTAGATCTTGGCAGACGTAGCAACAGTAAGCAATGCTCCTTTCATACAGGACACTGAACTCCACTGAGCACGCATTCAGTGCCGCCTTTCACAGGTCCATCTCAGTCTGCAGTATAGGTCCATATACTCACTAAATAATTCATTACCAAATACAGTTCAGTTTAGGGCTGCAACTAATTATTTTCATTATTATTAATCTGATGTCCTCAAATGTATTGTTTTGTCCAAAACCCAAAGATATTCAGTTCACTGTCATAGAGGACTAAAGAAACCCAGAAAATATTCTCATTTGAGAAGCTGAAATCAGAGAATTTGGACATTTCTTAAATTCTTAAAAATGACTCAAAACGATTAATTGATTATCAAAATAGTTGCCGATTAAATTAATAGGTGACCATTAATCAACAATCGTTGCAGCTCTACCGTGTGTCACTTTGTCTGAATATAAGGGCTTAGCAAACATTCTGTTCAGCCTATCCCAGACTCTTCCTTTCTTTCCAAATCAAAGGATTTGGTTCTCAGCTGTTTCCCTCATTTTGGCAGTTACCTCAAAAGCACAATCTGTGATCCAAATTTAAACAAAAAGCCAAAATAAAAAACACTTTGGAACCTGCTGGAACTCTCAAATTGATCTTCTGGCCTTTAGTACAAAATTGAAACTAGATAACAATAACTAAATATAAGTCACTGATGTTTTCTTATGGTGTTTATGGTTTGTTTATCAATTATGTTTGAAAACACTCAAACTATTTATATAAATATAGATTAGGGCTGTGCGATATGACTGTATATCATGTGACGATGGAAAAAAGGTATTTCGTTTCATATAATTCTCTATCGTTTATTTTGTTGTATCGCAAATCACACTCTTTATGGCAATATTTTGAATCATTTGGATGACGCTTTGCATGAAGGCAACACAAACAAACATGGAGGAGAGAGACAGACACACAACGGGGTCATTCCGAACAAGAGGACCAGCCAAAGCAAAACAAAACGTACCTAAAAGAGGGATGTGGTTGTGGTTTGGGTATGAAGAGTCTTAGCTGCATACAAATTATGCCAGACTCTTAAACTCTATGCAAGAATCATGTCAGTACGAAGAGAGTCTACACAGGCTTACACTTTCATTCATGTGTCATATTTTGTTACATTCTTAATTGCAAATCTGAAAAATAATCAGAGTAAGTAACTTTTACTTGTCAAGTATATCATTCTAAATGTAATAAGAAGTAGGCCTTTCCATGTGTTCATTTTATTTCAACTTTTTATTCATTGAATTGACAGAAAATATAGTGCTGTATCTTGAAATGAGATTTTGGTCATATCGCACAGGCCTAATATTAATTTACCTGTAATTTATATGGTGCACACATGTTTCTTAGGCTATTAATGTCTACCAAAATACTGACCTGTGACCTAAGTTTGTGTGCTGGTATCATCACTTGTGTAGAATACACACCAACACAAGGTGGCAGTAGTCTTAAAAGTCAGTATTGCAGGCCATGCAATTAACCTGTAGGCTTTTAAAGATGTCTTGGCGAAGCTTGAACAATGCTCATGAAATCACTTTTAGGTAGTGGTGGTAAGTGTGATGTACTTAACAGATGCAAATGTGTTTTTATTGAAAAATAAATGGTCCATGTATCAGTGGAAGAAGGAATCAGTATCCTCTCTATGTAGTTTGGTGCCAACCTAAAATCATTCTACTTGTGTGCCTGTGTATTGGAGCACCCCAAACCAAACTCCTTTTCCTGCTTTCAACTTCTTTTTGTCTGCAACTCTAGGTCAGATATATGGGAGACATTTGATCATGTCATCAAGGAGACATGTAGACGACTGAACAACACACACAGGAAGAGGCAACAAGACACAAGCAGCTTACATTATGCTTGTAAAGAAATTACTGATTTTTTTAGAAGTGGTTGTCTTTTTTTTTTATATTTAGTGGGTCTAAAAAAAAATCAGTATTTGGAAATTGGTTTGTGATTACTAACTGGCTCGCAAAAGCCCACCAACTGAAGTTTGGTTGTCTCTCGTTTTTCAGGGCATAGAGCAGTTGAAAAAGGAAGAGAGAAGATGGGCTAAAAAAACTAAATGGATGAACATGAGGGCGGTATTTGGACACCCTTTCTCCTTATTGTGGTTTAGTCCCTTCTCCACCCCTGACCACGGGAAGGCTGAGACCTACCAGTATGTGGTGTGAGAGCTCAGCGCAGGGAACGAGGCGGCCCGGGTCAAAACAAAAGTGGGAACCGTGGGAAGCCGTGCCCAGCCCCACAGAGCTCAGCTATGACAGTCTGTCACTCCCAATGCTGAACGTGATTTACACTGTATCTCCCACGCTAGCCATGGACAGCTTGCCATCTGCTTTATGTGTTGCCAACTAAGTGCGCTATTCGTTTATTTTTGTGTTGCCTTGAGTGAGTCGAGTTGCAGAGAAAAAGAAAACACTTTCAGTTTGTGAATCCTGTTTGCAAACACTGTGATAAATCTGTTTTTTTCTCAGCTATTTCTATTTCTGTTGTTGTATCAGAAGCTTTGTCTTTTCATGCTCTGTGTTTTCTCTTCCTTTCCCTGAAGGGTTAGTTCAGCCAAATTCACAAACAATACATGTTCTCATTTACTGGTGTCTGGCCACATTGATAGTTTTACTTGTAGGTGATGAGGTACCACCCCAATACAATGGAAGAGAATGGAATCTGCCAAATACTTATTCTATATCTATAAAATGTAACTTTTACTTGCTTATTTTATTAAACAGTCCAAAGCCCAAAGATATTTAATTTACAGTCATAGAGACTGAGAGAAATGATAAATATTACCATTTGAGGAGCTGCAACCCCTGAAACAGAAGAATTGCTATTATCCAACTGAAAAAATCCCACCTCCTACCTTCAGGCCTCCCCTAGAGCTACTGCCCAAAACACATTTTCATGAGCAATGAGTGCCCACAGGTAGGTAGACGGGCAGGTAGGCCAGCCATCGTTTTCTTTCCCCCCAGAGGATAAGATTTATTGATTGCCCCTGCGATGTAAAGAGTATTTCAACAAGAGGGTGTCAAATCCAATAATCTGAATTGTAGGCCTTAAACTGTCTTAAATATGATTTTGACAGGACTCATTTTGTATTAATCATGCTGTAAGAACTACAAAACCAGTGCAGATTTTTCTTCATAACCTTTGTACTTTTCCAGTATGGACATCAATAGGTCTTAAATTGCATTTATAATGGTCTTAAATTGACCTGCAGATTTCAACGGAACCCTGTAAAACAAAAGGTGCTTCTGAAATCTGTGTATTTTACAGTGAGGTCTGGACTGTCCAGAGTAACCAGGACATTGTTTCTGGATATACAATATGCTTTTGAGTTTTTTAAACAGGGTTCCATTCACCTCCATTGTACTAGGGTGAGAGTGAAAATTTCTATGTTCTATTCTATTCTGGAAACTATCTGCATGGCTACATAAAGTGTAAAAATATGTCTTTTTTGTTAATTTGGGTGAACTGACCCTTTTTAAATCTCCCTCTTGCCGTACAGCTATCAGCAGTGTGTTCCAGATGTGGATAAAATGAAGCTTTTAAAGAGGTCTTCACTAGAATGGATTGGATGAATGAATGATTAGGTTACAGACTCTACTATCAGATTGCTTGTGGGAGTCGTTGTGCTAACAGATCCATTCTGAGGCCGACCCTTTTAAATGGTGGCAAGTTCAGCACATAAAGGAACAGTTTGTCTTCATTATTGTGGATTTGTGGTTAATTATGAATGTGGAAATATTTTAAATACACCCCACCTCCAGGATTTCACTGGCTGTTTTTGGGATTGTTGCGGCCAAAACTACTACTTTAATACAAAATTGCGATGCATGTTGCGATGTTTGCAGGCATTTTTTGCAATTAAATTGCAGGAGAAAGTGAAAATTGCAAAAATAGTTAACAATAGTTTTAGATTTATTTTGTATAATTCATGAAAAAAATCAAAGGTAACTTGTTCCAGTGAGAATGAAAAGTGAATCATAGCATCGTAGGGGGCTGTGCAATGTGCAAATTGCAATGTCGTGCAGAATTTATTTTGATTCGTTGAAACTGTGTTCATTTTTGTGATGGCAACAGCTCAACTTCCCGGAGGGACTGTCAAATTTTACCAGCCACTTAATTGTTTTTCTGGGCCTGAGAGTAGAGCAAATCACCCAGCCACTTGCATACTTTACCAGCATTTGGCTGGTGCAAATTTTGTGCCCTTGATTCAAACTGTCCACAGCTCACCTGTGAGACACCGCTCAAATAGACAGTATCTCACCATAGAGGGGAAAAAAATGCTCCTTTAAAATGTTGTATTTGAGCCTCACATGAACTTAAGTATCCTTCTGAGAAAACGACATACAAGGCCCAAAAAGTCATGTGTTTTAAATGACTTTAATAGCTACATGTTGTCCAAGTGTGGAACATTCTCTCTGATTCCTCTCTGATACATGCTTGACATGAACGAAGCATTTGCTGGAGAGCATTGATGTATAATTTTTTTTCATTATCAAAATGAACCAGGAAGTTTCTGATTGCTCCACCTAACAGGATCAATCCAGAATCAAAACGCTGCAGCAGGTTTTGCTGAATCATTCTTGCAGTGCTGCTCATTGAAGAAATGAAATGATTTCAATCTGTACAAATGTCTTTGAGCGGTAAAACGTGGCTGTTAGAATGTTTTCAGTAGTCAACAACCATACTGTAATACATGCTCATTCTCCCTTTTTCTTTGAGGGAAGGTTTGGCCGCCCACACTAACACCAACGCTCCCTGTGTGTGCGCGCTCTAAGCCCATGTGGTGTTTTGGTGTTGTGAGCGTGTGCCAAATTCAGTGAACCCCACAATTACATGATTACTTGGGGGAAGCTTTCAAATGAAATGCCTGGATAAAAGGACACTGGCCTAGCTTTAAAGTTGTCATGGCTGGATAAAGTGTGTTAAATCCTGTGTGGATTCAAAGGGAAGCAGCATATAGAAAACTGCATACATCTTATTATGCAGCAGCGGGATATTAGCTGGACTATTTCTGCACTATTTAACATAAGTATTAACTTTATCAGTCACATTCTCACGAGTACTAGAAAGGCTAATTCGCACTTTGTATTTATCATTTAAGATTTTTTTCTCCTGTGTGAACTGCTCTGTTCTGAAGTGTGCATTTTATCCTTCTATTCTTTGTTTACATGATATTGTATGTATCCTTTGTTATCTGAATGCATGGTACAGGTGAAGGCTAGTTTAGTAATGTATGTGAAACACTGCTGGTATGATGGTGCCAAGTCTCGCCGGTGAGAGTGATGGTGGAGATGATTTGTTTTTTACAGAAATTTTAATTCTTTCTAAATATTCTGAAGATATTTCAGCACATGCGCAGAGAATAAATACTTCTCAGTTGCAATGCAAAAATTGTGTTTGCTTGCTTTTTTGGATGTATTTATCTCCCTTTGACTGTGTGGGGGGCTGCTGCAACCAAATGTGTGTTTGTACATCTCAAGTATTGTCACAGAAAAGGTTTCTTCTTCCCCTGCATACAGTCCTGTCCCGCCCACATTGTTAAATATTCACTCTGTCCTTGTCTTTCATTCTGTTCCCACTGTAGTCTGTAATCTGCCTCTCTCCCATGCAGTGTTCTCTCCACATTCATGCATTTGCTTTGGTTGATAACTCATTCTGCCAAAAGCTTTCTGAAGCAGACAGCTCTTTAGAATCTTGAGGAGAGGTAAGCTTGTAACAGAGGTCATATTAGCCGTCCCATCAAGCTTCACACATCACACAAGCATGCAGATTCCAATCTGAAGGCCAAAGTGCGCTTCATGTCCTTTTTTCCTTTTTTGTCTGCCGTTTCAGATTCAACCAAACATTATGAATGAATGAGTGAGCTCTGTGTAACAGGATGCATGTGCTGTTTTTTACCATTTGACATTTTTGCTTCTTCCACAGGGGTTTATTCTTTATTTTTAAAGTGCATGTGAGTCATTGTACAGTGTTTTATTACAGTTTGGGCATGTTTCTTAAATTAACCAGAACTGATATAAAAAGAAAAAAACTTTTAACACAATGGTCACATGTCTTATGTAGATTGAAAGAGCTGGTTACTGTAAGAACTCCTCCTGTCTATAGTGGCCATACTTCCACAGATACACTGTAAAAGATGGAGGATAAAATCCACAGTCCTGACACTGTGCTGTCACCAACAACCTCTGTAGTCTCATGTGTTGGCAACTGCCTTTTGTAAGACACATACAAGCTTTAAAATTCACAGTGAAAAGTGATGTGAAAATCTCTTAAGCTTGTATTAACTACAGACCGTATTTCAGGAATCTAACCAGGAACCGGATCAAAGTGCTAAAATGCTAACTTCTGCAAACTTATTAATGCAACCCTCAATAGATGAGATCAGAGTAACAATGCATTTATATGAACACCCCAAACCTGTTGGAGTATGTGGCACAGACTGCTCTGCTTATGCACAGAACAAGCTAAGCCTTCAGCCATCCCTTGTGGCAATTCAAATAAGTCAGGAAATCCATACATTAGCGAGTATGTTAGCAAGCTACACAACTTGTGTAAATGTCATGGTTTTTATTGCAATACGTAATAACATTGTATAACCCGTCCCTACCGTGTAGGCACTCTAGCACAACATTGCTTGATGGCCAGTATGGACAGGAGGAACGATTACAGCGACCAATAACTCCTTCAACATACGTACATATTGCAAAATAGTATTCTATTAATATATCCAAAACTGTCTTTTTGTGACTGCGTCTGAGAAACAGGCCCAAAGAGCTAAATCATAGTGGTGTTGCAGTTTTGGTCATCAGCTTTGTGTCATAGTAGTGACTGATAGTGCATGTAGAAAACCACCGACACCCTGTCCTATTGGCGCCGCTCCTTTCACCTCAGACACTCACTGTTGTGTGTCTTCTCCAGGGGATCGAGCGCCTGAAGGGAGAGACGGGGAAGTGGGGGAAGGTGCCGTGTTGGGAGGCCATGCAGATGGCGTTCGGTGGCCCGTTCTCTCTGTCCTGGTGCAGCCCGTTCGCAGGGCTGAGCTGCAAGAAGAGCCCCCCAGAGCACGTCAGCGTCCCACAGGGGGACATCATCGAGGAGGACTTCATAGAGATACCACTTGAATAGCGGTCAGGAAGAGTTTTTGTTTTTTCTTCCATCTGCCAACGCTACAGACAGATAATTAAAGATCTCTTTTGAATTTGACAACCCACGAGGAATATTTACATTTTTTTTAATCTCAAAGACTTTATCTACGTGAAAATATCATGTGAGACATGTCCACTTTGTCCCCAGTGTCAATGCAACCATTTGCAGGGTGTACGGGGTAATGAACTTTGTGAATACATTTACTCGACTTCAGCATCTTGGTCCTTTTTATAAATGTTCTGCCATTGAGAGGAAAGTCTGGAAATGACCTTTAACTGCTTAACTCATGCTGCCAAACCTGCAGTAATTTCCTGAAATCATGGTGTAATGAAACTAACTGCTGAAGTGAAGGAGCTGGAAGGACTGAGAGCTCCCGTTAGCGCAACCAAAGTGTTTCTGACTGGAGGTGAGAGGATGATGGATTTCTACAGCGTCTCATTGAGCTGTCTCAGGAGAACACCACTAACAGTAGCACTAATAAGACACTTGAAGCACAAGCAGTTTGCTTTCAACCACTTTGCTGTCTCTGATGCCTTTCTGTAAAGATCTGAACTCACCCTGTGCCTTATCTGTCTCTACGTCAAACGTTTCAGTGACACTGTGCGGAGAAAAATTTATATTGATAGTGTTCAACTACTCATCTGTTCAATTCTGTTATATATGTGCATATGTGGAAAACCGACTAACTAACTTCATGTGGAAGTGATTATTGTGTTATTGCGTAAGCTGCTGGATAAGGGCTTTAAACTGTTCAATGGGTGCTGGATATCATGGGACCACTCATGTTAACATTATTTTAACTGTTTTCTCATTATTTGAGTTCCATTTTTAAATTCTAAAATAAATGGACACTATGAACTGGATTGTCTGTAAGATTTGTGGTGAATAATCATCAGAGAAACGGTATTGAATGATTTTTACAAATTCATCTGCAGTTTTACATTACATACAAAAGTTATTTCAGGGTTCCCACTCTTTTTAAGAAATCCTTTTCCAGGAGTTTTCTTGACAGTGAAGGACAGCCCTTCCTAACAAACATCATATAATTTACCAGTACACTTTGAATTGATACATTTAACCAGTTTTATTCATTACATACATGACTTTGGCCATAGCCCATAGATTCAACAGTTCAAATAAAGTAGAATTTTTTTCATTTTACAGAAAATTCATCTTGTCACCTATTAGTCTATTAAAAGAAGTAGGAAGTGTTTGTTGCACATGTAATTAACATCTCTGTGCACGTATTTATTAACTGCAGCCAGAAAATCTTCCCCCGGGCTTTCATGGGAATTCTGCTCACAGCTCTGGGAAAATAATACACTTGACGCCAAAAACATTGCTGCAGGTTTGTTCCACATCTGCTAAAGCCACAGGTTCTCCACCAACAGTTGAGCTTTCAAACTAAATGCGTAGGAAATCTGCAGCTGTGTGAAGGGCTAAAATATAATTCAAATTTCCAGGACAAATGGAGCAAAGCCTGCGAGTTAGTTCAGGCAGTCAACTCGAGCTGCGCTGATTACACACATGACACGCCTTATTCCATAATCACTAACCAAGCGCCACCTTCCAATCTGGCGGTCTATTTAAACTGCACAATTTCCCAGCTCTCCCTCTGCTCTGTCAATGCTGCTGTTGCCCTGCATCCGTATTGCTGCTGCTGCTCTGTAAGCCCCACCACCACCCCAGCATCCACCTGTAGGCTCCGGCTAGGGGTTAAGGTATTTGCTCATCACTCCCCAATATCTTTATGTAAACATATCTGCAGGGAGTGATGAGGTCGGAGCCTAGACGCCAAAATCTAAATATGCTATACTGCTTAATAATCATTTCAAACGTGAGTTGGCTGACTGAACTTAGATTATTTGCAGGATATTTGGTCATTTCAAAGTTCCAGGTTTTCCAGGCTGTGTGGAAAGTTAGCAGGAACCTTTGCCAGTCTGACATTACTAGCTAATAAGACTCTACCTAGTTAGATACCTTAACTCACTCCAATACAAAAATACTCCACTCTCATGTCTTTTAATACATCACACAAAATTCAAGTCACATCAGCGTAATTCAGTTAGCTCATACATTAATATGTATAACAAAGAAAAAAATATGTAAATCAGCTCATTCTATTGTCTGAAGCCTTGAACGAGAGCTGGTCCAAACAGCCAGATGTAGCTGTCTATCTTTCTCGGCTCTGATTGGTTGTTTTCATTAAGATGCAGTGGATTCACTAGGAGGAGCCAGACGAACCTGATTCTAGCTCATGTACTACTGTCAGGATATAGTGAGAGACGTTTCAGCAAATAGCACCAAAGATTATGTTTAGAAAAGTTACCTACTGCAGCTTTAAGCAGGGAACCCTGTGCACAGATACAATAAGTCTGAGTCACTTTAATTCCCCGTTGTTTGTAACCAGCTGTCTTGAAAATGTGCAGTGTGGAGTTTGGAATATATGTCAGCATCTTCAAACCCATAGACCAAACTCAATCAAATAACTTGAAGTTAAAATCAGCTCTGGGCTTACCATTACTGCTGGTAATTCCCCACAGGTACGAGGACTTTTGACATTTTGATCCTAGTCAGAGAAAGTAATGTTGTGCTTTTGTATTACTACCACCACATCAACGTCCATATCACTGCTGGATGACACAGTGTTAAAGTTCTGTTGAGAATCCAGAAAGAAGGTGTACAGTGACGTTTCCTTTCCATTACGTGACATTCCTCTCAAAATAGTAACCAAGGTAATTGCCTGAAGCCAACCACACTGTATTAAAGTAGCTGTAAGCGATATTTTTTTATTAAGTGTTAAACAGCTTTACATTCTGACAGCCATCACTGATAAAGTGTTCAGTCAGTAACAGTCCCTCCTTTCTGCAGCTGCTATCCTGTTCTCACTTTATCCAATCAGGAGGAAGAACTTCACCAGGAGGTTAGTGGCACCAACCCGGTGTGGTGGTATTTGACGAGCTGGGAATGAGACTCAATCAACTATCTTTCTCCAGAATCGCTTACTGCACCTTTAACCAAACTCTTGTTTACTCGTGGGGCTCAGGAAGACGTACGCATATTAAACAGTTCAAAGAGTTAGAGGCTAAACCATGAGTAGAAATCTGGACTGACCCAGCCTGTTCTGAACAATATAAAGGCAACCAATACGCTCTCCCTGAAGAAAACACCGCTGCCAGAACAATAGCAAATAATGCACACAGACACTGAATGTACATTCAGCTCTGTGCAACATAGTCTGCTGTTTTAATTGCTCTTAATAAGACACTTAGGAGCAACATCTTCACTTTTAGGTACCTGAGAAAGTCCATTATCCATCATTACTCCCCCCAGGGGAGTCTTGCCACAGGTTGTTGTGTCTGCGACTGAGGAGCAGTGGCTGCATGCCTGCGATGAGCCAAAGCTGCATCACTTGTCCTTTCTGCCCTCCTCCTCTCCCTGTGGGAGCGTCTGAGGCACGGATCCATGGAGTACGAGCAGTCCACACAGTGTGAGGGATATGCCCACCCACCACAGAGCTGCATGGGTCTCTCCGAAAATCACCCTCCCCAGGACGGCCTGGACACACAAACAAAGAGCCTGAATGCTTTCACTGAAACCTTTCCTGTCTTTTCACAGACTCTGTTGTTCAAAGAGAAACGATGAAAGGTGAAGAGCGAGGGAAGGCTGGGAGCTTACTGAGGAGATGAAGTTGGATGCGGTGGTGGTGACGGTGGCCCTGGCTGAGGAGGAGCAGTGTCGAAGAGCCTTGGAGAAGAAGGTCCACATGACGGCGTTACAGGTGAACAGCAGGCCTCCACACAGCAGCCGCAGGGGGATGTGGAGCTGCACGCACACACACACACACACACACACACACACACACACACACACACACACACACACACACACACACACACAGCTGCAGTCAGCTACATATGGGTGACACATTAAAGGAATAATGTCCTATATAGGTGTTAAGCTCTGGTTCTTCAGGGTTTTCCTTTAATGTGTGTGTACTAGAGTGTACTGTATGTTATCTGCAGGGGATCTTTGAAATGGAAGAATACACATCAGTACAGAGTGAACCAAGAATGTCCTCAATAATGGAGTCCCATTTCCATTTATGACAACTGGATATGTATTTAAAAAGCCACGGGTTCAGTATGAAACGGGAGGGAAACTTCGACCAGGAGCAAAAGATAGGAGCAATGACCTGAGACAGAGTCAAAGAGAGAGGGGTGTATGTCATTAAGTTCGTCTTACCCAGTCACAGGCTGTGGTTCCACCGTGTGTTTGAGTCCAGCCGCTCAGCCCGGACTCACATATGTCTCTCACGTAGTCAGCACCGAGGGACAGCTTGGCCGACAAAGAGGCAGCTGCCCCCAGAAAGCCCGCTAACAACGCGTAAAGAGAGCCTGACACCATATCCGCAGAGTGTGAGACCCGGTACAGGGCCAGGAGTCCGTACCGGTCGTTCCCGGGTTTCACTCACTCACAGCGGGGTCGAGTGCGAGCTAATGCCGGATATGGACGGTGGTAGAAACTTTCAAAACAAAAGCCTGCCTGACAAAGTTCGTAAACATTGTACAGCAGACCTGATAGCTACAAAGCCCAAACCTTTAACTCGTGTATTTTAGGCGGTAAATAATAATACTTTGTTGTCATTGTGTGCGCTGTCGTCCGAAAATGTCGCCTTCGGTGCACTTATGTTCATGAAAGAGCTTGGAGATGCCACATCGTTTATTAGTTAGCCAAACAGCTTCTCCCACATACTGATTACCTGGTCAAGATCCATTAAGCGTATGGCAAATCACTACCATATGAATATTCTTCAGGCGTTTTCGATAACTGAGAAAAAGAAAAAAGTAACTCGTTTTTTCTTTTTGCCTCCGACTAATGCCCGATTTTAGTTTGAAGGCGAAATCCCGTTTCCGATCACATTTCCGCCATCTTGACATCAGTGTCTCACACCCACCAATCACAGCAGCTCCTGAAGCCATGTGACTTGCAGCGGCACCTCTTAATGACGCATCTGATGTTTTGGTGAAATATCGGCTCGTGCCTCGGAGACGCGTTCAGGCCCAGAATTCCTTTGGCGGTGAGCGTCGTGTTACTCGGTTGCGATGAACAAAAACAAGGTCAGTGGGGTGTCATGGGTGAAACCAGAGGAACCGTCCTTCCTGAAGAAGTTTAAAAATGACGTCGGATACAAAGAAGGACCGACTGTTGACACTAAGGTAATAGCGCTTTGGCTAGTTCCTGCTAGTCGTGTGAGCTAGTTAGCAAACGGAAGCTCATTGAAGTGAATGGAAACTTCCCGTTAGCTAACGTTGTGTTGTGTTTAATAGCAGCTTTATGTTGTGTTGTGTTCACTGACTCACTGCTGGTTGAATAATTCACTGTCATTGAAACATTGAAGCTCCGTTCATTCAAAGCAGTGAGCGGCGTTACGGCTCTCCTGCAGCGCGGTGAACGGACCCGGATAGAGGGAGGTCTGCGGAGGAAAACCTCTTTGTTTCTTTTCTTTCTTTTTGTCATTTCTATCAGACCACATCTATAAAAAGCTACAGAGCACGAGGCCGTCCACGGCTCCACTTTGAACATGGCAGCAGGACAGGCGTCAAGTATAATATACACAAAGAAAAAACACAACAATAAATAATAAATGAATAAATATTGCAAGACAACAATTAAGAGTTAGCTAACAGAAGAGTAAGCAATAAAATCACATTCATATTCTTCCATTAAACATTCTTAGCATTCTAACACATGGACACATTTTTATTGTTTCTAGATTACTCAGAGTATTTCTCCAAGTTCATTTCCAAAGGTTCAGTGCTGGGCCCGCCAGAACCTGGCTGTGTGGATGTAATATTTGATATGAATAGAACTAATAAGCTGACAGTCCTCTGAATGTTCTCTGTTGTCTGTGTTTGATTCCCAGCGCCAGGTGATGCCAACGCTGGATGATGACAGCGGGAGCGACCGGGAGGACGAGTTACCTCAGGTTGTGGTCCTAAAAGGTGGAGACCTTTCTGCAGACGATGTGAAGAAGATCAAGGAGGACAAGCGTACTGGAGGTAAGGCTGAGTGAGCGTGGGCCATATTTTCTGTCAAGAGGGCCTCCTTGTTTCTATAGATATTATGTCATCTTTTTATAAAGCCCCTGACCCATATATTAGCTGACTGATATAATTAGCCGAATTCTTATGCTTAATGTTTGATAGGCTTTATGATCTATTAAAACCAGAGTATGTTTGTTGTTGTTGTGTTAACAATAGTGCTGTCGGTTAATTTGGTTAGAACAACAATGCATATTAAACCATCCATGTTGGCTCACTACATCTCAGCCTTTCTTGCACCAAGTGTGTAAAAACTACAAGTTCTGAACTTTATAAAATACAAAACTGCCAAACGATCAGTTATCCCATCAGGATCGGCCGTGAGAAGCATGAGTGTATATATATCGTCATTCCTAATCGGAATATGTTATCCCACATGCAGCAATATGGTATATAATGCAAAACAATGCTCGTGTTAATATATTGGTGTCAGTGCAAAGTTTATCCAGCAGAGTGCGCTGTGATCTACAATACTGTAGCAGCTCTCAGCAACAACTAGAATGGTTTGACAGTGTGAGTTCAATTATTTAACATGATAAAGAATAGGTAACTTAAATATTCTTTAATAAAGCAGCAGTACCTTTTGCATAGGCATATCAGTGAAAACTCCACATAGTAACGGCCTGTTGTTTAAACTCAACAACAGATGAAGCCTGGAACACATTTGCTGTTGTTTTGTGCCAAACCAAATGCTTTTTTAAAAATAGCATTGTGTTTTTATTTAGCTTGTATCTGGAGAGGTCGTTTAAATTGATAAACAACAAGTCGAAAAATCTAGGATTATATTAACAACATAGGAGGAGGGCGGTGGAGGACCTCGAGTCAAATGCTTTAATCCCATCACTGCTGATACACCTTAATGATGGTGTATTTTGTCAAGGCAGCAGTGAGCGTCTCTGATGAAAAGCGCTTCACACTCTGAAAACTGTTTTTTTTTTTATGAATCACACACATCCATCTCGCCAACAGACGACGAACCTCCTCCCGATGGTAAAATCCTCTTCAAGAAGCCGGCCAAGCGCTCCTCTTCAGACAAATTCCAGGGCATCACGGCCAGCTCCAGCAAAAAGAAGAAGAGTGATGGAGGGGAGAAGGAGAAGGAGAAGGAGAAAGAGAAAGAAAAGGAGGAGGAAGAGAAGAAGGAGGTGAAGTCTGGGAAGAAAGTCAAAAATAACAGCCTTCTGTCATTTGGAGGGGACGAGGAGGACGAGGAGGACTAACTGTTGGCGGTGCAGTGTAAGACTGTCATTAACCTCTGTGGCAGAAGGGAACGTTAACGGTAAAATCTTTCATAGTACCGACGAATAGGAACAGGGGTCAGATTAACAGACAGTGTATTATAAACAGTCGCTGTCTGGAGTTCATCCACACTGTGCAGCCTGTCCATCCTGTAGCTTTCTTTAAAGGACAGTGCCAGTATTTTTGCATGTCTTAGCCCACTGACTACAAATAAGCCTGTGCTTGATTTTACTGACTGTTCCATTCCTTTTAGTACACTGTAAAACTCAACTTGCAGAGATTCAAATAGCTCGAATAAGAAATCCATCACAATGAACATCTTGATTCCCTTGTTTTAGTTCCACATTCCCCACTCAGATTTATCCTGTCTTCCACTCACAAGCTCGCTTCTATAACCTTTAGGCCACCGCTGCCCGCAAACTGACCATGCCTGACCACGTTTTACATCTGATAAACACAGCTCTTCAGCGGCTGACGTTAACAACAGGCCATCACTTAGATTGTTTATGTAGAGAAAGACACACCACTCTGCTGGTCTTTTATGAAGAAGACACGGTGCACTGCTTTTATTTCTTCCAACATCAAAATAATATTACACAGAGTGCTGTTTCTTCCTCCACAGAACCAAGAGATAATAGTACAGAGACTTTGTTGTTTCACCAGCTTTGTGTTCATTAGCTGCGGCTGACTAAATATGCCTCAAACTCACTTGATAGTTGTGGTTTTTTCTTTTTTTTAATTGGCACCTCTTGTGCTTTGAAAAACTCCTCAATAAGAAATGGAATACAATATTCTTAAGTGTGTTTTCATTAGTGTATAATCCCCTGAAAATAAGAGCTGTTTCTGTCTACAGACGCAGAACCACCATGTTTATACAGTAGCCCAAAAACTGGCTCCAGATGTGGCCATTTGCGTCTTTCGCTGCCACCATAGTTGGTGCTTGGAAGTGAAGGGAGAGAGTCGCAATCTGCAACTACAACGCCATTTGCAGTTTCATTCAGCGTTAGGAACAGCGTATAGTCTGAAAATCTAACCCTAAAGACAAACACACAAGGAGCTTGCTTAAAAGATAATGTACATTTGGCCAGAGTCACACTCAAATGTTGTGATACAATGTTTTGGGCATTTTTTGCATTGATACTGTCGTGCAAATGATTTGGGTTCCAGCACAACATTGCATGCAGTGCAAAACACTTCCATGCTGAACATGAGGGAGTTGCTTTGCACGGTCTTTAGCAGTAATTGATGTTGGTAAATGTTCAAGTTTTAGATGTCTGCAGCATCGCAACCAAAACAAGGAAGTGAGTTTGGTCAACTTTTCACAAGGGGAACTGCTGGTTGGTGAAACTCAAAGGGAGCTACGATGATTTTTGAAATTTGTGGAAAAGTTGCACTGATTGGACAAACTGGGATTGGTTAAATTTGCGTTCGCTGTTGTGATCCCAACTTCCTGGAGGGGCCGGCTCATGAATGCACCAACGTCAGGAGTGCCCCAGCTCACAGCGCAGAACAATTTAATGTTCACTATGATAATGACCTACCTCAAACAAACTGAGTCTCTGCAAATTGTCAGTTTGTATTAAATCAAATCAAGACCTTTTTTATCTATACACTACACCTTGACTTTCATTAGTACTGAAATGAATGGACAGCTGTATAGAAAGCTTTGGTGAACCTTTAAAAAGTCACAGAAATGGAAACCTCAGCAGATTTGTAGTTTATGGGCTAAAACGTGGAAAAGCACCAGCGGGGTTCTATGTGTAGTCCTTTTTCATTAAACATAAGATGAGCAGTAGTTAGGGAGATTTGTCCAGAGATTTCTGCAGTCACAAACACGGGAGCAAGGCTGACGCTGTTTGAAGGTGCTCCTCAAAACATCTGGTTGGCACTCAGTTCACTCAAACTATGCAACTTAATCTGACCCATGGAAACCAGGCAACACCAGGTACAAACTAGGTTGATTGATTATTGGTAATAAATTATTACTTTGGTTTCTCACCTAATTTTACACTCGTCAAAATGCTCAGCTACCTTTGGAAAAAAAAGTGTCAAAAGGAAAAAATGGACTTTTTTTTAATGTTTGATAAAAACTTTAATATTGAAATCTCGTCTGGTGGAATCCAAACGGTGACAAACTTTTAATGATAATTTTCCTGTGTTCTTGGTGCCTTCCACTTACCATACCACGGTAAAGCAATCTTGTCCGTCAGAAAAGACCCTGCAATGACCAGTTAGTCCCAGTAACTCCTGCTGTCTCGACATTGCTCCTCTCTCCTCCTCCTGATCTATGGATTCACTACCTGCCTCATACGTTACGATCCTTTCATTGCTCCCGCTCATCTGTATCTCTGTGGTGTCGTCAGAACTGTAAGTGTGTTTGCAAGTTAGCGTGGAACTGCTCACTGTAGAATTTTTAATACATTCAGTCACGTATTGGATGTATGAATACATTCTAGCTTCGGCAAAGGAGCTGAAAGTTTATGTAGAAACGATGCATTCTTGTCAATGCAGTTGTATGATTTTTAAAAAAGTGTATTTGTTTTTATTGTGTGCATTTTTAGACTGTTTGTGGCTGTAACATTTGAAATATAAAACATTATTACATCCTGTATTGTAAGCTCTCTTTTCACTGTGTCCGTTGATTGGTTTATGACCACCTTCCCATCAGCAGCCATTTTGACATGAAGCAGTCTGTAAGCACAGGTGTTACTAATGCTACTAATTAAGGTTCTGTTCCATTTAGTGTCACAGTAGCAGCACCCTGACTCTGTTTGACCTGAATGGAACAGAGCCTTCATGAGTAGCATTGGTAACACCTCTACAGGACTGTGAAATAAAGCTCAGTGCAGTGGGAAAGAGGCATTTTAAAAATACACTGAAAATGCTCCAAGAAATAAAAACAGTGTTATTTCAACCTCTTTATTCAAAAAGGCATGTTTCATTCTCACACCTGCATCCAGATCATTACAATTGATGGAAGAAACCTTGACTTAGAAAATCAAAAACGAAATAAAATCCTTGCATTTCTTGATAGGACGCTACGCTCGCTTTAGTCACCGCAGCCTCCATCGTCCATGTAATAAATACACTCACCGACTCTGTCGAGCTCTGGAAACGATATGATTTCTTTTTTTGTAAATTTTTTTTTTTTTCCTGTTAAGGCCAGTGCTATCCTCTCCACCTGGATTTGCAAAAGTTGGCGTTCTTCTGACAAAAAGCTCACACAGAATCACTAGTTCCTTGGAATATCTTCAAGAAACAAGAATAAGGCGGATTAAATCATAGGGAAACAGGGAACAAATTATACCTTCAAATCAAAATATATCACATACGATGATAAGAAATAGCCACTTTTATGCCACCGGTTGCATGACAGAACTATAGATGAGAAAACGGTGGAAATCAGAGCGAAGCACTAGAGTGTAATGTTTTAACCCTCTGCAAGTCAACAAAGCCTCCTCCTGCTGACAGCTCAGAGGAATTCATGAGGGAATAAGCAGCGGGAGCAGAGTGTTTGATGCTGTTACTGTATGTGAAGGGAGAAGCAGTCTGCTATGTACAGAGTGCAGTGGGACATTTGACAGGAGATCAAAGGGAATCAGGTGGACTGGTGACACACTAACAGCAGACACTGCTCCTGACGCGCTGCTGCTTTCCAGTCACATTGGTTTGAATGCTCCTGGGCGCCGGCAGCTGAAGGGGTTTCAGATTTGAGTGAAGGGGTGCTACACATCTAATGGCTTTTTAATGATCACGCTGGCAGACGTGACAGACATCCCGTTAGCATATGCTGCTAGCAACAAAAAGCAAGCACGTGGGCCCCGTTACTTTAAAGTGGTAGTGACTCGCAAATCTCAGTCCAGATTGCAGCCAGAGCTATCATTAAAAAAAAGAAAAAAGACACACAGACACACACACACACACACACACACACACAGACACACACACACACACACACACTTCACTGCTTCTTTAAACATTCACTTTCTCCCCCTGAAGCTCAGAAACATGCGTGCACTGCTTGTGTGTGAGCAACATATTAATTCAAGAATCAAGTGATAAAATGGAGAGCTGGGTTCATGGCTTCCCTAAAGCATCTTAAACAAAGCTAATGTGAATACACGGAGGGTCTCGGGTAGGCCTGCTCAACGACGTTTGAATGATACTGATAGAAGGTTTTACAGGAGAAATCTGGTTTATTACAACTTGGGTCTTTGTCATAGTTCTATCCATCCTTTCTATCAGTTATGGTAATATTGTACTCTTTTAAGTCATTGCTGAGATACGTTGGTGACGTCACTGCAACAAAGTGTCAGAGAGCAAGAAACACGAGTTCAACTGTGGCGAATAGAGTGGATCAAAGTTGAACCAGGAAGTAAATCTGTTCCAGTTGCGTTTGTCTAACCTGCTGACTGCTGGTGTTTCTGGGCCGGTCTGACTTGTTTTTACTGCTGTCGCTGTGTTCTGAGGTCTCAGTAATTACCTGGAGTGAGGGCTTGTGTCCACATAGTGTTCTTTACTGAGCGGCATGCGGTCACCTACAGAAAAAGTCTTTTCAGACAGGAGGTGGTGTCATCGCTGTCGCTCATTTTCAGGCAACTGATAATATTATAGAAGGGGGACTTGTCACCCAGGTAACCAATAAAATGGAGAAGCTTGTAGCCGTGTGTCTGTTCTGAGCTCTATGATATGTCAGACAGAAAAAAACTATTCAGAGTCTGTGGCTGGATTTATGGCGGCGCTAGTTTCTCTGTCCTCTGCTCGTCCGACCGATACAGTCAGTGCAGTTTGCAGCCAACGGGTATTTGTTTTGAAATAAGAAAAACTAAATTTGGGAACAAGCTGTTTGCTGACTACCATTTACAAATGGATAGAAAACAGAAAACAGCTTGTTTCCTGATTTTGGTTTCCTCACTGGGCTGCCGTGGACACTGAACCGGGTGAAGTTGAACCGGGGAGTTGACTACAGCTCAAGTAAAATGTAGAAATAGCAGAAAAGTGATATTTCCGCCTGTTTTGTCTGCAGTTGTTTGTTAAGCTAATGGCCAATTGTTAGGATCTGTCAGAATATTGTATTATTGTCCCTCCCAGCCCTCCCCTGCATCCTGCCAGCGCTTTTCTGTCAGAAGAAAAACACAAACACACCTTGTGGACACAAGCCCTACAATGTGATAATAGAAACTACAAAAACATAAGACCAAGTGGTAATGAAGTGGATTTTCCATTAAGTAGGTGTGGTTCTAAGCTGATATGTCCTGTCAGTGCAGCAGTGAGGTTGTGTGAAGAGAAATGGCTTCTCCTGGTTGGCACATACGAGTACATGCACTCCTGTTAATAACGGATTCTAAGGAGAGTGTAAAGGAAATGAAACACATAAAAACAGACCGCTGAGTACGTTCCAACACCTGGACCTTCCAGAAGCATCTAAGCACAATCTCACACCTCTGAAAGCTGCTGTAACTGTTTCCTGTTTCTCTCCTTTCCCATCAAACCGATTATTTATCAAGAACTGAATAAACTCCAACGAGGGGAAAACACCATGTGGGTCGACCTGTCATTGGTCTAGGGTTGCGGAGTTGGATTGGGGGCATGATAGGAAAGTGGTGTATCTTCTGAATGATGCAATACATAGAGCAGTCCCAAGCGGAGTCCCTGGATTAGGGACAGCTAATCTCTCTTGCTCCCTCTCTCTCTCTCTCTCTCTCCTATCACGTTCAAGTACAAAAAGAAAAGCGGGTCAAAGGTCACAGTTCCTCAGGTTAAAACCAGCGTGGGGAGGGTCTCGGATTAGCCCAACATCTCCCGTTCTCTGCCTCCTTGACCCCCCCCGCTTATCCAGGTCAAAGGTCAGTTGGGGTTCAACGCGTTCTCCTAGGTGATGGTAAGATTTGCAGCCTTTGACCTCCGGGTGAGGACTCGCGGGATGACAGGGGTCTGGAGAACCTCTGGTGTTCCTTATTCATCTTGATTGGTGGATTTACTGTTGCTGCTCGGTTTTTGTTGAAAGTTTTGTGTTTAAGATTTCTCCTCTCTCCCGTCCACAATGTGCCTCTGTCGGTGGTAGACTTTCTATAAAGATTTCTTGGTCAGTTTCTTGCCCTTCTTGAGGGAAAGCTTGTTCCTGATGTATCCACGCTTCCTCTTGGCTGTCTGCAGAGGGGAACAGGACCAAAAACATACTGGAGTAAAAATCAAGTACTCTTCAGTAACCACTTCAGTTGTTCACAAAAATATCTGTACTGGGATCACACCAAACACACCAAACGTTTGGTAAAAATAAAAGAGCTAGTGAAAGAAATCTGAAAAGCATTTTCACTTTCAAGACAGTCCCTAACTTCAGCTTGTTAGATTCTTGCCTACTGCCAGGTCAACATCAGATGACGAGGTTCAAAAATCAGCTTTGAAACAGCAGTTTGGAGGTTGGAGGTTGTTCAGCACTCATTACCTAATCATATCTGAATAATGTACTCACACAGTGCTCATAAGGCTGTAAGTACGCAGGCTGCGGAGTTAAATTGTTTCCTATTTGTCTGTTTTTAGGATTGGGGCTGAAAAGTGACCGGATTCTGACTTCCTACTCGTACATCTCACAGTTAAACCAGCCACACATTGAGCCACTCTGAAACTAATCACAAGCATTGTGTAGAAGGCCCGGTGGAATAGGCAGAGAAACTAGACAGTCCAGTGTTTGAAGTCCCAGCTTACCTTTTTGGTGGTGTACTTCTGCTTAGTGGCATCAGTGCTCCGCAGCTTGTGCTCTACGCGGTCTCTGTTCTCCAGCTTTTTGACCTTATAAATCCTGACCAACCAGTGCTCTGAAGTGAAGGCTTCCTCCAGGTGCTTCAGCTTTATGTCCTTGTTGCCAATCTCGGCGTTGCGTGTTCGGTCGAAGCCTGGTGGCGTCCGGAAGTCCAGCTAAACAGAAATGAGGACCGATGAAGTTGTTAATGTCTAAAATCCTGTTTGTGCCTTTGAGACCAGCTCGTTGTAATAACACAGTGGTCTTTGCATTCAGTTCTTGTGTCAGTTCGCTGCAGGACGATTATTAATGTTGACATACCTGCATTTCTCCAAAGCGGTAGTAAGACATTTTGTACATAAGGCAGTTGAGCAGGGTGGGGGAACCAGCTTTGTCCACTCTGAACTCTCCCTGCGGGGTAAAGTAGTCGCTTTCCTGGGTTGACAGGTAAGACAGGGAGACAGATGGAGGGAGAATAAGTGAACTTGCACACACTTTGACTTTTTGCAGGGAAACAACTAAAAGCACACTTGGTTACTGATCCTCGATTTTCCTTTGTCAGAGAGCACATCAAACATTCATATGATTCCACTTTGCAGGCCTAGCTCTACCTCTGCAGTAAATATTTAACCACTGCAGTACGCTCACCTTCTAATGCTCTCCTGTTACCCGCTAAAGTGCCTGAAATACAGTATGTGTGACGTCTCTCTCACCCTGATGTCCCTGGGGTGCTCCCCCTCTGCGATGCGCACCATCCACAGGAACTTGTTGATGTCATCGCCTGAATAACCAATCACCCCTCCGAAGATGATCAGGACGTAGTCAACATCCAGTGACCTCATGATTTCATACGCTGCAGTCTCATTGGAAGACATGGCTTTGCCCACCTGTAGGGACACCAAGACATTTCCGTTCAGGAAAACTCACAAATAAAACTACATAAAGATTAAAGGGGAACTCATATCATACACCAAGATCAGTTTAGTACTACTCAGCCTGTGAAAACATATCTGTGTTTGGACAAAGACACACTACTACAGAGGACATGTTGTTATTTGCTGCTGCTTTGTTCATTTATCTAATCAGAATCAGAATCGGGTTTATTGCCAAGTAAGTTTTTACATGTACATGGAATTTGTCTTGGTGCATTGGTGCATAAAAATCACACAAAAATAAAGTACTTTTCTAAAATATAAATAAAGATAAAGACAGAAAGAATTGTACAGGAAAGATATTTACAATGTGCAGGATAGAAAATGAGAAAATGAGAGTCTTCTCTTTATGAAAATGTAGCACTGAATCCGTGGAGAGCCCCTTAAAGACATACTCGAGTGCAGTGCAGTGATACCACATTATGTCCACTTGGTGGTGCAATACACCATGGCAACAAATGAAAACATACCCACATAGGAACAGTTCAACTCTGTAACCATGCAGAGCGGAGGCAAAGAAAAGTCTCCAGTTGTAAGAAGCACACAGAAACAAACAAGGCTATAACACTAACAGTCACTGATTTCCATGGGAGTCTTAGTTAGCCAAGTTACTGGCTATAATTTATATTTTTATAACAACTATGTCTCAAATGACAATGTGAAAACTATGACAATGCTCCCCTCAGCTTGTCTGGCAGACACAGTTAAAGACTAGCTGGGCAACACAGTGGAGCACTTAGCAGTCAGAGACAGACATTTCCCTCAGGAGTTTGTGTAAACCAACAACAGAACCACAAAGACAGTGAATATTGGACTTGGATTCATCAGGCGACCAGAAACAGTCCATATGATGATAATGTTGCTCTGTAACTGCTGGATTGCTCCCATATCAACTGAAAAGGTAATGATATGTCAGTGTTGTGTTCATTCCTTTTTTTCCTGCCCTGAAGTGGCGACAGAAATGTGGTATTACTGGTTTAAAACTAATTTGTTCCAGCAGGGTTTGGATTTTTTTTTGTACAATTATAATCTTCACACCTTCACGTGGAAACATCCCTTATAACCCTGTTAGGGTTATTTTCTCAGACATGACAAAGCTCATCACCACAGTAGACATTATACAGCTGATCTCACAGGCGGAGTAGTACTCCCCCTGATCCTCAGGTGTATCAGTGCAGTGCCCCTTTAATTAACTGCTATAGTTAAATCAGTTTTCATGAAAGTTCAATGTGGTCAGTTTCAGTTACAGCAGCTCTCACCAGGGCTATGTGACTGTTGTTCCACGTGTTGTTGTCCACCAGCGTGGTTCTGTTCGCCATGCCTGCTATCTGGTAGCCGTAGTCCCACCAGGACATCACTCTGGCATGCTCGTCTGTGTTCTGCCTCAGCCAATAGTAGGCCTCCCTGAAGTCATCCAGGATGTTACGGGAGCTGGTGGAGAAAGTTATAGATTGGTAGGGTGACGACACAGTGGGAATTGTGAGGCAAGTCACAGATTTTAGAATATTAATATTAGACCTCCACCCCAATACAATGCAGATGGATGGGCTGCAGCCTATATCTGAAGTGACTGTTATAAACATTTCTTGTTGGAAATATCCCAATCATGTTTTTAAAATCCTGATCCTTTAATTAAGTATCTGCTGATGCAAAGTCTGATCTGATAATTATTATATTTTTGTTAAAAGTCCATTTAAGTTTGGAAAGCTATTTAAATATGTTTACCGGCAGAATAGCTCAGTTTGAAGACTGCATTACAGTTTCCGTTTGATGGTGCTCTATTATATGTGTTATATTACGCTGCAGTATTTTGTGATATCTGTGGAGGGGAGTGTCAGTGTGGATCTGCTGTGGCAGAAGCAGTTTAGAAAGGATTTAGAGAGCCTTTCTTCATCTTCAGTTGTTTAAAACCAACAGCAGATTTTTAGAATTAGCTGTAAACTGCAAAATAACACGGACAAAGATGCAAAACCATCTGCCATAGCCTGTGACCAGGGACCCAAAGTCTCACTGTACCGAAAGAGACTATTTCTTCAGTAGAAAGTGATGACAACACGGTCCGTGGATTAATGGGAACACCGTTTCTGGAAAGATGCTACTGTGGAATTTTTTAAATGTCATTTTTTAGTGCTGTGAGCACTGCAGACAAAACTCCACTGTACTAGCGTGGAGGCAGGGATCTCAGAGGTGCGTTCAGCATGTCAAAACCTGGCCAAAGAAAACAAAAACTACCTGCACGGCTACAAGAGGGGGGTGAAAATATAAAACCCTTCCTAAGTCCCGCCCCTTTTGAAACCTCGGTCAACAGTCTCCTTTCCTGTATGTAGACATGCTATGTGCTAGGCTGCTCTATGTTGAAAAGACAACTACATTTTGAAGATGGTTACAAGATAAAAGACACATATCACATCTTAATTTAGCTAATGTTAGCTAAATGCGACCTAACTAGCTAGCTAACGTACACCAATTGTTAGCTAGCCTTTTGCTATCACATTGGCTATCGGATGTAACTAGTTAGCCAACGATCAATGTAGATTAGGTAGCTAGCTAACAATTGATCTTTTAACGTTTTTCAAAATGTGGTTGTCTTTTCAACATATTGTAGCCTAGCACATAGCATATCTCAGTACAGGAAAGCAGAAAGTTGACCGCGGTTCTGGTTGAGGCTTGCTCAACTGTTATTGGAGCACAGAGCAAAGAGGGGCGGGTCTTAGTAAAGCTTAACTGTTGTAATTTGGGTGAGCTGACCCTCTACAGAGCTGCATCCCTACTATCACATTGGTATGACTGTCAGAGGGTCTAAACATTGTTCCACTGGTGTGTGTGAATCATACAACAGACTCTGAGTCCTTATAGTCATGAAAATGTGCAAACGTAAAGACAGTGTCCTATTATCAGTTTTCATCCATCCATTCTGGTAAAAGCTTAGTTTATATGACACTGTGCTGTTATTCTCACCCATCATGGTTGTATGATGCCAGTACGACACTGGGGCTGGAGTAGGCGTTGCTGGTGACCCAGGTGCAGTGGACGGCAAACATCATGAGCAGCATCAACATCAGCATGGTGACTATGGACTTGATGTTGGGGCCCAGGCCCTCCTCGGCCTTCTCCTGCTCTGAGACGTGTTTGCGCACCTTACCAGCCTGCAGGGGACAGCACACACCGACAGGACGCCATTTATAAAGGTTACAGAAACTAACAAGACAGGAGCGCTGTAGAAATGAACTGATAATGTACTGGAAGACTGTTAATTGTGCCCGCTGAGAGAGTTCTCAGACAGAGAATTAGCTGTTGTAGCTGTTTTATGGTGGCCCTTCAGGAGACCTCTGATAGGTTGGTAATGCATTATTCCCACTGAATCCATTTGGCAGAAAAGCAGCAGAAGGATGGCAAAAACATTGGACTGCAGCGCTATTTGGTTTCCCCCAGGAAGGAGGAGGAGGAGGAGAGTAATGAGGATGCAGCTTGAGTTTTTGTTTTATCACAGAAACCAGAACACATTATTTCCAATCTTTGGGGTTTTTTAAAACTCTGAGATCCATCCAACAAAGCAAGTGCTGTTCAGATGGGTTTAGAAAATGATTTTTAAAAACTTTTTTATAATAGTAATATGTTATGCATTTATTTTAAGTCCACATATTGTGAACTTTTGGTTAGAGGTTAGAAGATGGCAAGCTCTCACCACCCACAAACAAATGTTTGATGTGATGTGAACAGGAAAGAAAGTCTGACAATTGAGCTGTAACTGAATAACTTTTGTATTTTGTCCAAAATTGCACAGTTCATAGGACCTTCTCTCACTTAAACAAGTCTCAAAACAAAAAAAGTGCACAGGTTAGGCTACCGGAAAGAGCTTTTTTGTACAAATAAAGTTCACCAGTCATGACCGTTCAAGATGAAACAACCCGATCCTGGCCCATCAATTGGTGTCATTTTTCTTGGCCATTTTGGGGCAGCGGAACAAGTTGATAATGCAACAATGACATATTAATACATTATTAAGTTGTTAGCAAACTATTTCTTTAGCCTTCACCTGGAGTTGTGTTTCTGGCTACTTGGTTAAAGCCTATTAATTATGATCTGTTATTGTCACAACAAATTCCTAAGAAAAATATCTGACTCTTTACTATTAATGCGAAATGAAAACAATAAGCTGCAAGACGCTAAAATGCTCCATAGAGCTGAAAGTGATAATTCTCTGAGGGTTTGTCACTACAATTATCTGATCTGATCCACTGTCAATATGAAAATACTGATGCTTTAAAGAATGTTTTGGTATTGTGTGTGCAGGCTATGGGAGTTATTTATGTTGTATATTGTGTTTGTAATGAAAAGAGTTTTGTATTTAAGACATAGTTATGTAACAGCATTACTTTAGAAATAACCAATGAGCAATTCATTTGATAAACAACACATTCTATAGTTCAATGCGCATCAACCAACATGACTGATCCTTAATGACACACACATTGTGAGGACCTTGCTAACCTTGTCGTAGAGGTTTCCAGCGTTCTTCCTGTCGTCCTCATCGCTGCTGTCCTCTGCAGGCGGGCTCTGCCTCTTCATGTCGTCTCCCAGGTAGTGTTCAAAGACGCTGGAGAAAGCCACCGCCGACAGCATGCACACCACCGGGGTCAGAGTCAGCATCAAACGTACCATTACGCCGGCAAAATATACGGCGCTGATGGCATACAGTGCCACTAGTGTGAGAAAAGCAGAGAGAGAGAGATAAGGAGGTTATAGGTGACCAGGGTTTTATGATCCAAGCTTGATGAGTAGGATTCAATTTGGAAACTTAATTTATTCAATTTACTTCAATTTAATGCTGTCGAGTCACATTACAGGTACATTGCCTCTCTACTCTGTTGTCTGACAGTGACCTGAAATTCATGCCTTTCTTTCCTCTGTACTAATACTACCCCACTGCTGGGGGTAGATCTTACAGGCAGGTGGAAATAGGGTCGAAACTAAGGGTGTAGGAAACTAGATACACTTAAATATCACAATATTATGTCTTGTGATACTATATTGACTATATTAAAAACACTATTGTGTTTTAATTAATAGTTTACATGCAAAGATTGCAATATATTGAATTGTAACTGCTATATTGTGACACATATTGTATCAACAGACTCTTACCAATACACAGCCCTGGTTGAAACGGAGAGAAAAGTACACCACATAATCAAACACAAAGCCAAATGTGTTTGTCTGTGTATGTGCGCTGCATTAATAAAGTGTTTGCAGCTGAACTGAGATCAAAGAGCCTCAGAGGAAAGAGTAGGAGGCAACAGGTAGAGAGCCAGAAGGAGATGAACACAAAAAAATTGACTGAGATAGAGTGGAGCAGAAGTAAACAGGAAAGCGGTGCAGAGGGGAGAAGGCAGCAGAAGACTGAAGAGGACTGTTGGCGAGTAGAGCCTGACCCCGAGATAATCAGCCAATTTTAGCTCATCGTAGAAGAAAGTGCAGAACACAAATGTCAAATGTTGAGAGGTTTTTAACGGCTATTTTTGGTGGAAAAAGTTTTCCAGGGGTTTGCATTGAACAGACAGGACCGAAAAATTAACGATCAATTAAACCAGACATAAATTAGTCATTAGAATCCCATCAAAGCTTCATGTTAGCCTTAAAATACAGGCTTCCCCACACCACACAACTTGATTTAATGTTCAGTAGATTATCAGGGTTCTGATTTAAAGACACAATTCTTCATGGGCTGCATTTTTCTTTCATTCTTCTTATCTCAGCTTACATAGATTTTGGTTTAGTTGATATTTATTGATGTACATCAATTCAATTTCCACTGAAGCTTATGGTTTAAAACTGTATATTGCTGTGCAGAGACTAAACAGATAGTGTCATACAAAGATAATGAGGCAGAAGGAAAAACAGAAACTGAAATGCGAGAGATGGAATTAATATGAAATGGTATGTGTGATAACACAAGTTATTTACAGACACCACTGCTACAGCTCACTGCTGTGGACACAACTAAAAAATAGCTCTATGAAGGATGCCGCTGACAAATAGGTTATGAACAAATATGGCAGACAGATGTGAGAGACAGTGGTCTGATAGCTACTTCAGCACTGTCACAACAGTTATAATACTGCACATTGAGGCCATGCACTCACAGGGATGTTTCCATTCCACGGGGAAAAGGTGTTGAGAGACTTTATATAATACAGTGCTACAAACACAACTCAAAGAGTATATAGTATTTATTACAGCCTGACTGCTGTCAAAAAACTGCAAGCAACCCAAATACAACATAAGTATTTCATTTGTGATGAGAAAAAACTGAGAAAAAGGGATGCTCACATATATTAAAAATTAGCCTATACTTTGTTCTAATCAATCAAACAATCTATATTATCATAAATGATATAAGATGTAATTAAAATAAAGTAGTGTGTTGTGAGGGCAAGCAGTATTTTGAAATTTGAATGATTTTCTACAGTACCATGGTGACATGCACACACACACCGATACTGATAAACACCTGTCACATACTGGCAGGTAATATGGACCATGCTGTATGTGTATGCATGTATCACTCAGCCTCTACAATATATATGCATAATAAAACAACAATAATAACTCTTAGGAATATAAGCTCTTAAAAACATACATTTCTTTCTATGGAAAGAGATTTTCTTAGTGCCATGTGGGATAATAGAAAAACAGTTCAGTCCATTAAGACATCAGTTTATGAGAGGTAACTTAATAATAGTGCACAGTGCAAGTTCTTCCAGGACTGCCAATGTGCACACAGTCAAGAAAATGTGTCGGCAGATACAAAAGACCAATTTGACACCGTTTCTTTTCCCTGTGTCTACTTTTATCACAGTGCAGCTTTATTGGACAGCGTGCGGTACGCTGAGTCAAGATAAGGTACAGCCTTAATGAGATGTCTGAGGTCTGGGCTGGTTTCACAAACCGTAACAAGACAAACAAACAGAGAAGGAAAGGGTAACAGAAGGAGCCTGAGAGCTACTAGACTCCCGTCACTGGCTGATGTGCAAGATCACAATATTCACACGCTCACTAACAGGACAAATCACACAATGATAATCTGTCAGTGATATCCTTAGAGCCAGAAAGTTTCGTGGGATACCAACTGTTTGACTTCAGTGCTAACGCCAAGCTGTATCACAGTTATCACAGAAAAAGAAAAAACTAAGTTTAGGGCTCAACAGTAAGGACTGCCAGGGGCAAGTTAAGTACCACGCTGGTCTAGTAAATCTTGTCTTGTCATTTTCCTGTATCTTTTTGCTTCAGACTCGACGTTATAATCTGAAGTCATATGAGCTGACCTACTGGAACTCTGCACCGCTGCTACAGCTCTAACCAGAGTTAAAATACTGGGATTTGATAAAATGGCAAAGAGCATCTTTAAATAGAGACTGGGGTATGATCTCCCCTCCATACTTCTGTCTCGTGATAAAAAATGAGCTAAATCAAGGACAACTGGTCAAACTCCATCAGGTAAGGAAGAGCAGAGGAGGCCCTGAACGCCCTGGAAAAGCTAATAAGTGGACCCTGAGATGAAGTTTGTGTTATTGTCAAACTATGGTTTGCAAGGATCAATGACCTTTATGTGTAATATACAGTATGTTATTAAAGTAAGGTCTCCATTGTTATAATGTCAGCTCCACATTACTTATACTGGGCCTTTAATAATAAAGAATTTCATCATTAAAAGTACAAAAGACAAATGTGTCACTGATGCAAATGCAGGTTTCCCACTCTTTTTGAGAAATCATTTTCCAGGACATTTTCCAGGAGTTTTCTTGACAGTAGAGAGTACTTGCCCACAAACGGTCATGTTATTTACCGGTAGCCCTTCAGCATTTATTAAGCACTCTGCGTTAGCTCGCTTTAGTGGCGTGCGTTGCTGTTGTCACCACAGCAGATTTTTCCGCTGTGGTCTCAGCAGAGCGGTCTCCAGCGAATTGACAAACTGGATCATTAAAAGGCTGTATGCATATAGATATAACCATGTACACCGTTTCCACTGGGCTTTCCTGAGAAATCTGTTCATTGCTAAGGCAAAACTTACATTATTTCTAGGTTATTTGGTTATTTTATTTAATTTCCAAGTGTTTCCATGACTGGAAAACTAGTCTCTAAATGTTGTGGGTTTTCCAGGATGCATGGGAACCCTGATATAGAACCTGATATTTATCAATCAAGCGCCAAAGCTTGAGGGACAACAACATAAAGCCATTATAATACTAGTGAAAGCCTTCTTCCTACTTATTGTGGGCACTTTATTGATAGTGATGGTACTCTAAAGCTTATTGTCTCCAGCTCCACCACAACAATTCCATCAACACTCGACAGTCTGAGTTTCATGACCTCTGTCAGTAACAGTGTCCTAAGTTTAAAAAAAAAACGTATTCTATGATACGGCTCTTACCAAAGACACGTTCATCATTGATGTTCTTAATGCAGAACCAGAGGCCTGCTGGGAAGGTGCAGACGAGGATGTGGAGGTCAAAGAAGAAGGACACCCAGGTGGTGGGCTGGTGCTCAGATACCGATGCTATAATGGGAATGTGGATCTTAGCATAGCTGTAGAAACCACAGAAAACAGAGAGAAGTGAGACACCACAGAAGGTTTGGTTAGGCAAGTACATTTTATTTACACAACGCAATATCACAAATTTGCCTCAAGGGCATTTTAGGAAGAGAAAAAGCAGGTCTTTATAATATAGTATCAAACAAACCCTTTTCTTTAAGATAAGAGCTTAATAGCTCATTGTATTTGCTTTAATTTCCACTTGACTCATTCTAAAATGAACCACCCCAACTGACAGTAGAGCTGTGAGATCTTACTCAGAGTAGGATGTCGAAGAAAGTCAAATTTGGCTGCTGTCAGTTATGTTGGGTCCGAGGATGACCTCATTACTTTTACTGCACTGCAGCAAAACTCAACTACCTTTAAAAGAAATACTCAGGCGTGTGCACAAACACACAAACATATGTGCACATAGACTCTGTGAGAGTTTTACAGCTGATGCTGCATTCTGGCAGCTCTCTGTAAGCCCTGATCTGGGAGGGGAGAAAGTGAGTATTATCTGTTCAGGATTTTATGATGGGCCTGAGTGACGGGCTGACTCACTCACTGTTTGACCGTAAAAACATTGTGGCTGCCACACAGATGCAAAGGCAAAGCTGAAGTACTTGGTTGTGCATTTGATTTGTCTCTTAGATGTGCCTCAAACCATTGTTGATTGAAAAATTAAAAGGGAAGATAATCTTTTGTAACAACTTTCTCCCATGTACAAGACAAAAAAAATCATTATCCTCTTGACCTTTTATTAAACACATGCTCTAAAGCTGAATACATTAAAAGTTGGACCTCATAGTAAATCAGCCAACAGATGAGCTGGAATAAATCTTTGATGAAACTTGCTCCCACCCCGCCACTTTCTGTCTCGTACAGTTTAACAGATTTAAAGGTAAATGTGCTACTGTACATAATTTAAATCCAATTAGTTATCAGTACTGCAGTCAGGTATTCCAGTAAATCCAGTGTAAAATAATTGTCATCAATTGTGATAACTTACCCAGTATCCCAGAGGGAGTAGAAGCGCCCACTCCATGGAGCAATGTACCCTGAAGGAGAAACACACATAAACCATATGGACTCAGTATGTACTTCTTAGTCCAATTAAACAAACACGCGTCTAACCATCACCGACCTGTGTACACACACTGCTGTGGACTGTCAATGATCTGTGAGTTCTGTCATGCCTCGGTGCAACGTGTAATTGCTCTGCAGCAATCCTTGTGCATATATCGATCATATCATTATCATATGGGCGTGTTGCTGTGCTGCACACATGATGAGTGGCTGTAATGAGCTCTCTCTGGCCTGCTGTCCACTCAGCTCGGCAGTGCGACGATAAATGAGAACACAGAAACTAATTGCCGCTGTTAGATAGCCGGCAGGTAGTCCTATCATACATAGAAGATAGATGTGGGGTGTCAGTAGATGGCTGGTTCTAATCATAGCCAGCTATCACTTTACATGTAGCATTTCACTGGCTTAGATAAGAGGTTTAATTACTATGACCACACTCATGCAAATGTCTCTTGTAATGTGGAGACCCAACAATATAATGGCTTCAGGTCATTTTAGGTAAACAGCAACAAAGCAGTGTAACTTATACATAAAGCAATGGAATACAACATCGACATCAAAATGCTACTTCATTACTTTAAAGGTTGAGGTTGTTGATATTGAAAAGACAAAAACCTACAATGAGCTGATCCTACTAACAAGTCTGCATCCAAAGCCTGATACATCTTATTCCTCGGAGCTCCACTGCTGTCCAACAACTACTTAAAAATACATCAATGAGCCACACTTTTCCCAATTATTCAGGGCTCTCTAAAGATATAGTCTCAGTTTAGAACTCATTTTAAATACAAACAAGCTCTTATTATCTCCCCTATTCTGGCAAATGTCAATTTTGCTCTTTCTTCTAATCAGTTGTGAAACAGGAGAGGGATCAAGGGTGTGAAGGAGCTTTTTAAGGACGGGAACTTTTTTCCTTGTGAACAGTTAAAGGGAGGACTTTACTATTCCCTTGTAAATAAATAGATTGGCCGGTTACAATTACTTTTATCATCAATATGCATTAGCCATGGGTTGCTGCAGTTTAAGGTTTTGCATAGGTCTATGTGTGAGTAAACTGGCTAAAGAGCTTTAGACCTTAGACCTTTAGATCTGCATCAGGTGCAGTCGAGACCAGCTAGCCCCAGTCGCATTATCTCATTTTGGACAGGTATATTTAATAGCTTTTATGTGTAATACGGTTATTGATCCTAACCCATTGACTGCATTGTTTGGTGTAGTCCCACAGGAGAGACAATAACAACGGTGCAAAATAAACTGGCTTAATCCAAACACTGCTGCCTTGCTTTATACAGTGCATTTTACCTGACTGTAAGTGTTAGCAACCTATTCATTCTCACTCCATTGTTGATTCCAGCTTGGCTGTATAAAACTGGTCTATTATCTCTGATAAAGTAAGGGCTCCATCATGAAAATTGCTGTTATCAATGACTGTGAATGTTTCAATGTCTAAAATCACTCATTCATTCCACTGTCATCCTCTCCACAACAATGATTTTTCATAACCACAGTTATGTACTGTGTAACAAAACCTTACTTCCTAATACCAATCTGATCCCCATTCTTTTAAAGCTTCACTCATAAATTCGGGCACCCAGAGCAGTTCTTTTTAATCATGTAGCAGCAGTCAATGTAAAATCAAACAAACAATCTGACCTAAAACACAGTGAAAATGGGAAAGCTGTTATGTACACAGCTGTGTATGAATGTTTCTTTTCTCCTTTGACATCAAACTGAAAATGCAAATCCATATTAGTCTTTATGTTTGCACGGCTAACACTCCAGCTTGACTGACGGTGGAACCAAGAGACTGTCCAGCTTTACTGTAGCCTGTTTGCACAGTAATGATGTGCTATGCATATTTAGCTTTATATTGCGTAAAAATGTACAAAATAAACAAGAATGTTGTCGCATCACTTTCAAGTTTAAATGAGTTGTTTTTCCCTGTGAAGAAAAAGTATTTCAGAGCTATTCAATGGACCAAAGACCATGTGAACCAACCTGTGTATGTCAGATAGATGACAGAGAGAAAAACCACTCCAGCAGCCACAGAGACTCCCAGAAAAAACAAAGTCTGGAACTCCTGCCTGGTCAGTCTGTCCTTGAGGTACTGCAAGAAGGCATAGACCTGAAGCAGCACAAACACACCTGCAGAGATACAGCACAAATACAATATGAAACACCATACCAGTGTGATCATAATATTAGATATTTGTTTACAAAAACAGTGATAAGAAACTTTAAACCAAAATAACCAAGTTTGGCTCTTTGTCCTAAATTGTGTTTCTAATGTACAGTTAATCAGTTATTGAAGCATATTTAAAAAGGTAAAGGTATCACATCTACTTTTCCTACAATGTTTCAGTTCTGTGCATGTGCACGAATGGTTTAGGGAATCATTGTCCTCCACAGCAACACTGGCACAGTCAAGCTGCTGTGGGCGCTGACATTATGAGAACTGTCTCCGGTGAATGGTCCAATATTAACTCATCATCATTACATACTCTGGTTTCAGGGCTCAAACACAGATTGTGTTTAAAGAACTCATTTTATAGCAGATATCCATATGGTCCTCACTGGAATTAAAAAAAAATGATACATTGATGCCTTAAAAGGACAGGTTCACATTCTTATAACAGAACTGTCATGCATGTATTTAGCAATAACAAGAAAGAACTTACATGTCCATACGTACATGAACTACTTTATTAATTACTAAAAAAAGATTTGCATTGAAGATTTACTCCATATGCCTGCAGTAAACACACATTATTGGCTTCCAATGCTATTTTCCACTTTCCACCCAGACCACAGGTTATCGGTTACTGACCTGCTGCGGCCATGTGTTCACTGGTCCTGATTGGCTGAAAGCCCACAAAGGGGATCTGCATGGACAAGACCAGGCCGATGATGTAGAAGGTGCTGTAGGCTGGAGGGAGAAACAACCAGTTAAGACCAGTTAAAGACAAGCCACTACTTATTTATTACACATTATTATTATTATTATTATTATTATTATTATTATTACTACTTACACATTCAACCTAGGGCTCTGTATTGGCAAGAATTGGACAATGCGATACGTATGACGATAGAGAGGTTATGATTCAATATACTGCAATACTGTAAGCAAGGCAATATATTCTGATTAAAAAAAATATAACATTTTAGGAAAACGTTAATAGTATGAAGAACACACTACCATCTGCATGGAAAAATAACATTACAACACTACTACCTAATGGTTTAAACTAAAAAACAGAGTGTTTTTGAGAATCGATACAACACCAAAAAACAAAATATCATGATAAGTAAGTCGATATTTTCTTACACCTCTGCAACCCTCACCACTAAGTTTCAGTTACTGATGGGCTGGAGTGCCACAGACAGGGTAGGAAGGTCCCAAAGTTTTGAGAGATGGACTAACACATTGTTGATTGTGATCTTTTCTTGGGATTTGTTCATTTTTACAATATTACTAAATTGAAAATGATGTCGGTAATTTAATACATTCTACAAAAGATCAGGATCTGGGAAGGATGTGAAAGATAGCACATGCAAACACTGCTCCTCCTGTACATTTCTGACTCTTCAAAATACGTCCTCACAAAGTCCTTGATGCACTACACAAGAACAAAATGCCTTTTGAGCCTAAATCATGACTGACAGTCTAAGAACGATTAAGCTTCAGAGTTCAAACGATTTACACACACGAGAGCAGCAGCACAACCAGACAACAGGCTCGCTGTGAACACTCCAACTAAACCTGAAAAACTGTTTCAAACAAGCCCTCAGGGGTCAGAAACACTGAAACAAAGCCTCAATAACAAAAGCTCCCAAACAAGCTCTGCTGGTCCGATACTGCCAAAGTACAGCCAGTAAAACACAACGGTTAGTTCTCCTCAACAAGCCGCAGAGCCGTACTAGAAACGCAAGCTGAGAAGTGTAGACATCACGAAATGGCTAGAAATCATATAATTAACTCGACAAGTCTGACCATATGTGTGTCTATATGTTGTATTTACTACAATGCTTCATTACAACAAAAGGAATTATGACTACTAATTATGTTATCACAGCTCTTTTAGGTATCTAACCTACCAGGTCTCTCTCTTTCAATGACTGCAAAATAAGTAGGTGGGAGGCAGAATCAAGAAGTAGAAGGTTCCTCTTCACTCAGAGACTGTTTTACTATTCAACAGCTGAAATTTCCTCAAAATGTACAGTTCATCATTAGATTTTTTTGTGCTGAACAATCTTATTTTTAATTAACTGGTGCATTAAAAAGCAACATTTAAAAGGAATTATCATTCCATGTTGAGAAAAAGGATGGATGATGTGGTCGACACTGCAATAAGAGCGAGGACTCTAAACTCCACTCTTTGCTCTTCAACTGTGGCTGCGCTTAAAAATAAATTGGTAAGGCATCAGATCACACTGAAGGGAATCATGTGTGTGTGTGGGTGTGAGGTGGGGGGGGAAAAAGTATTCGCAAATTTGTGTCTGGGCATAGAATCAAACCTCAACTCTCTCCACTGCTGTCTTCACAGGCAGACATGATTATTATTGGTATTACACCAAAAGATGTGTGCCTTGCTGTGAAAATAGCCTGCTGTTCTGTTGGAGCAACACATACTTTCAAATTATTTTGGATCATTATTAGCTCAATGCCTTGACAAGACTGGAGGGAACAAAGGGGAAAGAAAGTCTGCTATCCAATCAGAGTGTATGTGTATTCACTGCTTCCTCTGCAGTCCTTCAGAGAAGACGGTCATGAAGTCCCACAGACCAGACTGTTTTATTTACATTGAAAAGCAGCAGATCCAAGGTTGTTCTGTCTCTGACTCAATCACTTTCTACCTCCACAGCTCTTCTGATGATGACGACATTATTAGGAATGCCAGAGTAGGGAAAATTTGGTAAATGTAAGGTAAAGTGAAGTATATTTCTTTAATGATTAGCGTGATAACAGTGTGTAGTGCAATTATTTTGGCCAAGATCATTTTGACGTGAAATGTTCATATCGTTCCATGCCTAATGTTTTAATTCCACTGTCATTAAAAACCTCTTTTCAGGATTTTTGTGGGAAGGTTTTAGTATATATTGGTGCACCTTGTATATTGTGCTGCTATAATAATAATAATCCTGTATGTATATAACAAGGTCAATTGTATATTCATTGAATTTCTGCAAGTTATTATTGGCAGCACCTTTGATAGAGAGTTGCTACTGCAGCGGTGTTTTGTGCACTGCACCTCTCAGAGATCACTTTGCAGTCAAACAGCATCCAAACATGAAGAAACTGGAGGTGTTTGATTTAAACTGCACAACACAGGAGGAGTGAAACTCTGAGGCTCAGCTGATCCAAAAAAGTTCAATACAATATGAGCCATGACGTACACATTTTAACAATGCAGCTTTTATCAGTGTACCAAGCTTACATTTTAGTCAAAAAAGACAGTGTAATAATGAAAAGCTAAGGCTGACGTTAACCAATATTCTTCTATGAAAAAAAAATTCCATCTTCATGACAAATGAGCAAACTCAATCTGTTGATGAAGACCATGGGTCGCGGCTGAAAGGTCCATAAAAAGCTAGTGAGAGGACCTTGAGTTCATCGTATTTTACTGCTGGACACAGTTTCTATCACACGTAACTCAAACGTAACTCAAACAGGAGGAAAAGTTTGTTGGGGATTAATACTCATTTGGTGCTCTAGTGATATGAAGGTCATATGGTTCATTGATCTGATTGGTTGAAGGCAGATGGTTCATCCAATCACCTGCCAAATATTTTTTCAGTTTCCAACAATGACTTCACAGATGGTTATGTGTAACAAACCATCAGGCTTAGTCAGGTTAGAGTTTTTTTAAGAAGAAAATATAGAATATAATATATCCTTGACATTAATTCTTATATCTGTGGATTAGGGCCAATTTGGGTATTAATGTACTTTATGACCATAACAAAATACTGCCTTTGGTGACCCAAAGCAGCTGTTTTTCATTTACTTCCTGGCCACTCCAATTTGATTTGTTGGTAAAAAGTGAAAGCTCTTTGGTTGGAAAGCTGGCATAACCTACAAGTTGTCATTTCTGCTATTTAAGCAGTTACCTAAAGATGTCTGCATTTTCAGCTGAAACTACATCCAAACTCAAAAATGATATGTGGTGTCCTACCTCTCCAAAAACCTCTCAACTAGTCTAATTTAATAAATAATAAAATAATAAATGCTACTGAAAGCCAGGCAGTGCAGTTCTGCAATGGATGAGGGCCCAGTGTTGCCCTGTTCAAGTGTCCCAGCACGCGGCACATGGCATCTGCTCTCTAGCAATGTGCAATGCAACGGCCTGCACTGGTACTGGGAACTGGCAGCCAAGCAGATGCCTGTTTAGAGAGTGGAGGCATCCATCAGAGGAGTTTCTATTCTAAGTTTTCTATTCCACTGCAGAGGAGACGTTGCTTATGAAATAATGAAATTCCAATTGGATTTCATTACGGTATTTCTGCTTTTATTAGACAGGGAAGACGGAGCGAGCGGGGGCTGGTGTGTGACAGCAGGTCACAGACTGGACTCCAAATGACAGTACAAGGTATGCATCACAGAACACGGTGAGCTATTACAACTTTGAACTAACTCAATTACTGTGTTGCTGCAGGCAGAACGTACAGTGCTGGTCTTCAGAGAGACACAGACACAGGAGGTGAGGGGAAAGAATGTTGGGGGGGGTGGTGGAGGATAAAGGAGGTAGGAGGCCAAGTGAGGAAGATGAGAAAGTCAGCTTGATGCTAAATTATTCATTTTGCCAATAATCTTATTGGAGGATGTAGAATTCACCAGTCACCCCGTCTCATCTCTCGTCTTTTCTACTTTCAATCTCCCTTCTCTCAACTTGTTGTAAGTTCTAGCAGTCCTCAGTATGGGTTCTCTTTGAATCCACAGCTTTCTTGTTAAGTTAACCTCGCCCAGTTGTGCACTTTGCAAGTCTTGATGGGTCATTATCTCCACAGGATTATGATCTGGTATGATATGTATGGGCTACTGATTTGGATCTGAAACAATGGTATATGTTGTGGCATCAGTAGGGCGCTGTGAGCCCGGTCAGGACTTTGATTCATGATCAGTGAGGCGAGTTCAGGGGTGTGCGACAAGGCGAGCTCTTTGAAGGGAACACAGCTTTCATCTTCTTTCCTTCTCTTTTATTTCCCAGCCTGTATTTCCCCTTTCAATCTCTCTTACTTTTATCCCATATCCCTTCCGCCCTTCTCTGGGGAATCTGTGTAAACCTGATATCTGTCTAATTACAGACACAAAATCAGTTGCTAGTGGATGGTATTAATTACCAGTAACAGTGTTTATAAGTAATAAGCTACTCTGTGTTGTACCTTACATCAATGTGGCTTTGGGTCTTTGGAAAGTACAGAAAATAAGCGTGTGTGTGTGTGTGTGTGTGTGTGTGTGTGTGTGTGTGTGTGTGTGTAGCTGCTGACTGTACAGTTACCTTGCCCTTTATGTTGTTTGTTTATCCTCAATATGCTACACTGAATGTCAAATGAGCATAATTGTAAACCCCCTAAGTCGTCTGTTTATGCCCTTGAATTAATGTGAACAGAACTAAAGTATTCATGTGTACGTGTGTGCGCACTGCATCTCACCTATGTAGACTCTCCTACTGAAGCGCTGCATGAGAAGCAGGACAAATACGTGAAGAGGAATAAGGTTGATGATGAACACGTAACCACCCCAAGCTGAAACCTGCGAAAAAAACAAAAAAACAGTGTATTTAATATTAAGAGCATTTTCTTATCAATTTAGAGCTTTAGCAATACAAGTAATCAGTGGAGGTGTATTTGGATTATGCATGCACACATTCTCACCTGCACAGATATAGGCATGTACAAATACCAAATACAGTCTCACATACACACACACACACTGTTAGTTTACTGCTTCTAGTCATAATGGGATTTTGATCTCTGCTGAATATGTGCGATGCTTTCAACTGCAGTGAATAATCAGTATTATAACCAGCCCACGAGTCCCTGTTGGCTGGGAACTGAAGGGTGGCTGTGTTTTTTTTTCCTATTCACAACACACACACACACACTTCCATAATGGCATAGGTAGCAAAAAGAGGGAGGGTGCAAACCTACACAGCCCACCTGAGAGCTGTGAAATCATTATGAGTTATGGACTACAGCGTTAAGACTGCAATTCAGATTATGCTGTCTAAACACACGCACACCTATTCAAGCTTTGTGCTTATTGTCTAAGTGTCATGTAACTCCCAAGTGGTGAGCAGTTGCCAAAGAAGAGGCGTCACAGCTTGAGACATTCAAATGATTCATCACGGAGTCATCACAGTCTGGCTGAATGATAGGTGGTGAAGGGAGAAGGTTCCCCAAAAGATCTGCTTTTGTCTAATGTAAATGGCTTTCAGTGATGTGAGGCAAACAAAATTTGATGGACGTCCACAAATGCTCGATTGCAACCTTATTTGTGAGTGGCACAGTGATCATTTTTGTGCTGCATCTGTGTTTCACAGGAGTGTTTGCTGTGCAGGTTGCTCTCCCTCTAAGTTATGACTGATTTTTGTTTAGTTTTGACGTCAGCAATAGGGTTTAGTGTTACATTAGGTATAGGAAGGAATGTGGTCAATAAAATTCCTCATAAAATATGAATATAAAATGCTTTTGTGTGTGTTCTCACCATGTAGAAATAGGACAGGCAGCATCCGATGGTCCAGAAGACTGATCCCGTCTTCACCGACTTCACCTGCAGTTTGCATAGGAGAGCGTTAACCAACACGTGCACGCAGGCATGGTGTCACACTTCTACATCAACTGCTTCCATTCCAACTTGAGCTACTCTGTTCACTATTTTTTCCTTGAAGATGTGCTCTGTTGCCGCTTACCCAACAGGAGTGTCTGAATTATTCATCATGTTTCCCTCTTTAATGACCTGCACAAAGCAGAGCACCATGTTCTACACATCTTTACCTTCCCCGGCGCAGTGCACGAGAGCTGCTAACGAGGGCTTAACAGGGCTAACGAGCCCTGACTTAACGAAGGCACGGTTGGGAGGCGCTGCTATTGGCTGGATGAGATTGGATAAATGGAGGAGGCTGAGCCAATGAGATGTGGTTGATGGAAGGAGGCAAGGGATGGAATGAAAGTTGAGAGCAGGAGAGAGAGTTTATAAGTGATAAAGTAAGGAGAAAGGGGGAAGCAGTCACTTGAGACTTTTATTAAAGTTACTCTTCTGTCAAAGCATATCCCAGCAGGTAAAAGCTTTAAAGTCCCGTGTGTCTACGTGTGTGTGTGATTTATTTAGAATCTGTTTAAAATGTTCATCTTTAAACCAGGTTATCCCCATCTATCCACACCACCAATTAACACTGACTTCAGGGCTTCATAACTGGGACAGTGGATTCCTTCTTTAAATCTCAGAGGTATGCATGAAATGTTGTAGTTGATCAGGTTCACTGAGAATAACATTAGCCCATATAGCCGCATGTGCAAACCACTGACGACCAGTGTGAGGAATTATTATTATGTCTGTGGTTAATGGAAAAAAGTTCACCTGAAAACTTCATCATATCTTGATGACAAACAAACAGTTAAAAGGACTCTAATGTGTGTAGTCTTTTTGGACTAAAAGAACATTTAATATGGTCAAACAAACTACTCTGTTTTTCCCCCCTATATTCAACAGGACCGCTAAAGAGATGGACAGGAAAGGGAAGAGAGTGGGGGGACGAATCTCCGCAAAGGGACTCCGGTTGTAGTCCAAGTGCTAGTGAGTGGTCTTTGGTTGCATGGTGTGGTTTGCCCCCAGAGGCTAATTCATCGCCAGACAATAGCCGATGGGTTGAAAGCTGTTTTCCCATTTGGAGAAACAACTCTGGCAGTCCTAACTTAGTAGGCAGTACAAAAAAGTAGCCCTTGGATCTTCATGTGCCAGAGTCAGAATAATGGTGACAGAAAATTTGACATCAGCACATCTGTACAGGATGATGCAAGTAAACTACCAGAAACAACCTAAAATTGGCTTATTTTTTTTTAAATCAGTATGAAAAAACAAAGCTTATGGCTGCTAACATCCACAACCAGAGCTTCTGTGTGACAGATACTTCACTTTCTAGTAAGGAAGGTCAGTAACCCCTTCCAAGCAGAAAACTGTGAACATTAACACAATATCAGGCTCAATAATGAAGTTAAACCAAATGGCAATTCAGTCTGATTATCAGGTTAAAACATCATTTTATGTGAATTCATCAATAAGAGCAAAACTTTTCACATTAAACATATTCATTTGATTCATTGTTAATATAAACATGTTCATTTGATTCTTTTTTAATAGAAAAATAGAGATTATTGCAGCTTTAAATCATTGTAGGAAAAAGACATGAGTTTTGTATTGCAGTCTGAATATTTCACTTTATCCCTCATCTTCTAAGAAAGAGCAGCCAGCTGAAGCAGCGACAAGAACCGTTGTAAATAGCTTCATAATGTTGGGTCGGGACTATGGGAGGACTAATAAAGTATGTATAGGCATACCCAGAGATAGTAGGTGAACTGCAGGGCAAAGATGGCTATGCCTTCATTGTCAAAGGAGCCAGCAACAGAGCGGGAGATGTAGCCGGGGACGATAGCGATGAAGCAGGCTGCGAGCAACCCCGCGCCCTGGTTCCACAGCTCCTTCGTCAGCAGAAAGGTGGAGATGGAGGTCAGGCCGCTGAAAACCGGTGCCAGGAACACACACACGTCTCGGATGTGGACGGTGATGTGCAGAAGGTTGAGCACATAGTGGATGAGGCCCGCTGTGACCATCAGGCCTGGGTACACCTGGAGGATGAGGGGAAAACAGAGGGGAAGATGAGGGCAGAGATTATTCAGGCTCAGTTCAGACAGGCAGCCCAAGAGCCAAATGTTATCATTAAAGTCTGAATAAAAAAAAAGATCTCCCCAATGTTGTGATGTGATGTGAGAAGAAGAGCACCAATATTGATAAGCAAGCAGTAAGAGCTCTGAACAAGTGTTGCTTCATGCGTCGTTTCACTGCTGTGACTGCAAAATGCCACCATCAACAGTTTGAATGAGCAATTCACATTACAAGCTCGTTGCGAGCTCAGAGCTGCCGGACAGAAAATATGCTTTTACCAGCCTGCATCATTACCTTGAACAGCATAGATCTGATGACAGAAAATGGTACTGAAGTGACTACACACAAAACCATCTTGTTATTTGAAGGGAAAAAAAGCATATTTGAATCCGAATCATAGCCTACAGTACGTGGAAGGGAAACTTCAACTAATGTTTGCAGCTGGGTACTTCATGTTACTGAAAAATTATATTATATAGAAATATTTAGTTTTAAAACTGCTACTGTTAACTCTACATGTTAGCTACAACTTACATGCTACCCTAAGAAAGCAGTGAATTCAACTTTTCTGATTTCACCTTCTAAAATGTGAAATATTTGTTTGTCCTCTATGACATTAAACTGAATATCTTTGGGTTGTGAACAAAATAAGACACTTGAGTACGTCACCAAGGGCTTTTGGAAAGACCAACCAACCAACCAACCTATTCATCAGGAAAATGATCTACAGATTAGCGTCGCTCCCTAATAGTCGGCCTAACTGTTAGTCGCTGAGTCTTAGTCGGCACATTATTCCTTAGTCGGATAGTCGCAGAAGAACAAAACTATGTCAAACTCCGTTCAAGAGCTGCGCCTCGTCACCAGAACAAAAGTATCAGGGAATGGTCACCCTTCGTGGTAAGATAATATGGGCAGGTGACTTAAATTGTGCTTTAGACCCGAAGCTTGATTGCTCGCCAGGGATGGATACATCCCATTCTCAAACAAGAAAGAAAATACAACAATATATGAAAGACCTGAGCCTCTGTGATCCATGGAGGACTCAAAACCCTAACAAAAGGGAATTCTCATTCTACTCAGCAGTATTTAAAACCCACTGCCGAATAGATTATTTTTTTATTTCCTAATCTGCTACCCAGTATAACTAATTGTATATATGATAGTATTGTTTTGTCAGATCATGCCCCAACCTCTGTGTACTAAAACAAAAAACCAATAAAAATATGTTTAAAAAAAAAAAAGGTATCAGGGGATGGTTGAAACACGGAACTTTTCTCTCGTAACACAGGAAGTCTCTTCCCAATGCACTGGTGCATATGTTAACTGTAGAAGCTTGTCCCACTAACTAGTTAGTGGCTGTACTAACTGACTTTACCCGAACTGGGAGCTCGAAGGACAGAGAGAGTTTAAACACTACCTGCGTAAGATCCAGCAGGGAATACTGCCAGGGCACCAGGCCAGAATGTGCGACAGAACTGGAGCGTGGTGAACCAATGGAGACCAGCTGATTTATAGCGGCCCTAACAGACTCTGGGGTGGGTGGGGGGGTTCAGGTAGGGACCGGAGAGGAATAAAATGGAGCAAGAGGAGCGAGTTTGTAAAGAGTTCATTTGTAGCTACCTGTTAAATTTATCATTTATAATCCATTGTATCGATAAATCCACAAATATTTGTCGCCTAAGTGAAGTTGGAAGTTATTTATTCTGTGTATTGACCAGGAGACTTGTGTGATGTTCTATTCTGTTGAAAGAAATGAGCCAAATGTTCAGTCTCCTTGCTGGTTGTTCTGACACATTCAGAATCATTACCGCTTTTTCCTTTATCACTTAACAGGTGGCTGTTAAAATCTATACATTTAAATTAATATAAAAGTGCTAGTCGACTATTGGCTTTATCTAACGACTACTAGTTGACTAGAAAAATCTTTAGTCAGCAGCAGCCCTACATTAGACTGAGTGGTAGTGTAATAGCAAAGCTTCTTAAGTAGAGATCCATCTTTGTCCTTTATTTCTTTCTAGTGTCATGAGATGCCAAAGGGTTGCTTCAAAGTCAAAACAACAGGCTGTTGTTTTCAGCTAGTGTCAATGTCCAAAAGATCACTCTGGAGAATAAATTAGCCAACAAACGTTAGCTCTCCCTTCATCAACCAACACAGAGGATCGCACAGAGGGATAGAAATATGTGGAGGAGATGAGTTGCAGTGCAATGACGTGTTAAAAGTGACCCCCGTCTGTCTGTTCTTTAGCCATTATGAAGACAGATCTACTATGTGTGTATGAGTGCTCACTGCTAGCTCCCTGCCTCCCGCAGGAGCTCTTTAAGCAGCCAGCCATGCTTACTAAGTGTGTGTGTGTGTGTGTGTGTGTGTGTGTGTGTGTGTGTGTGTGTGTGTGTGTGTGTGTGTGTGTGTGTGTGTGTGTGTGTGTGTGAGTTTAAGAGGATGATTGAAGATTCATCACAGTAATGTGACTCTTGAGAAATAAGGACAAAGAAAGGATGGGGCTGAAAGTACACCCACACACAGCATTACAACACTCACCGTGCCCCCAACTATCCTACCCAGAGGGTACCAGGCTCTTTCGTCAAACCAGTTGAGGAACTCATAGAAGCCATTGGTGGTGAGATGGTGAGTCGACCTGTAGTTGAACCTGTAACATTGAGACAAAGGCAGAGGGTGTCAGAAACCAAACAGAGCAGCTACAGAAGATAAGTGTCTCATTGAAGTGAGGAAGCATGGGTCTTGATTTAGGTTTTACCAAAACAAGCCCAACTTCAACCAAACTAATCAACCTTCAACATAGAATGAATCAAAATTGGGTTTAAAGCAAATTTGTCTCAGGCTTGAACAAGATAAGTTTGAGTTATTGGAAAACCTGGATAAACTTTATAACAACTTTAAGGCAAGATACTGGGTAATGAGAGTTTTTTGACTCCACTCATCTGGTTCAGTTTTCTTTCTTTGTTTCAGCAAGTAGAGAGTTATACATGTATACAGCAAACTATCTTACTTAATCTATAATTATTACCATTTGTGTTGTTAATTTTGCCATCGCAGTTATCACCCCACTATAAGATATTACTTGCCGGAAAAGTTATGAATGAGGAAAGGTACATATGGGGCAGACAAATGTATTAATTTTACAGCTGTTATTGTCTACTTTATTTACTGCTGTATATTCACCTATTTTATTTATTCTATTTTTATTTTTGTAGTTATCACTACCACTTCTTATTTTTTGGATTCTTAAGTTCCCTACCAGTCCAGAACCGGTATAGAAGTACTGTGATGGGAGAGAGTGTGGGTGCTTTTGTAATGATGTGAATTTTTCTTTCTTGATTATTGGCATGTATACAAACTTAAGAGCAACATGTATAACTTATTTTTCTTTAAATAAAAAGTGACAATGCCTCGAGACTCACAAAATGTTCAGTTATCTTAACAGACGAAGGAGAGACACAACACAAAGCGATATAGCACATATTGTATTGATATTGACTGTAATTTGCCAACATATTGTATGAAGACGAACAAGGGTGGTTTATGAAGACATGCTATTGCTGTGATCTTATCTGTTTGGGACGTGTACGTTGAGCTTGCAATCCCGCTCTCAGCACGTCATACTAATTACTACTACTAATTTTAAAGCACCAACTGCAAATAAATCTTAGATTATCTAGGAAAAAAATCTATTCAATTTTCATTTTACTATTTATTGATCCAGCAGGTGTGTTGACCTGCTGTGGTAGCCAAGCTACTGAAGCTGTGCAAGACAAGCAGCAGTGAAAAGTATGAAAAGTACAAACACCATGCACTGTGAGGAGGTTGGGGAAAAGTTGACATCAAACAGGCTTCAACTTAGCGCATTTAATAGAATTTAAAACACAACTGAAAAAATACAACAAAAGAAACTTCAAAGTCCCAGCTACGAGCTAGGTCGGAAGTTATGACTATGTCACAACAAAGTCACAGCATGGAAACCATTTCAAAGTTGTAATACCATAGAGGTAAACTGATGAAATAATATCAAGATGAAGAACTGTAGAATGACTTCAAGCAGCAAACTGCAAAACTGAGGCTGACATTTCAGCAGGCATGGAAAGAGAAGAGATTCAGAGGTGTCCTGAAGATTCTGCCAGCATCAGGGCCACTGCTAGTAAGCAGCTGCCAGCTGGAAATACTACAGATGTGACAACAAGAGAGATGTTTACAATTGTGAATGGTTAACAGTATTGGGATGTTTGATCTACATGTGTGAACAGTGTCTAAATGGAGAACTCAAACTCCTTTTCCACTAAATCATCTCTGTGGCTTGAACCGCTTCTGTTCAAGATTTCTGGAACCTCGGTGCTATCTAGCAAACCAACCTGCGTCTCCACCAGTTTTGAGTGGAACCATAGTAATCAAGGATGTACTGTCAACAGAGGGCTTGCAAGTTGTAGAATATGACTCACCCACTTTAGTTCCCAACGATAACCTATCTTTTGGTTCCAGCTGGAAACCTACTTTTCATGTTACGGACCAATTGATTTTTTTGGGTCAAAAATACAGTCCAAAACTAGATGTGTGAACCAGAATGGAGCTGGTTCCCTGTTGGTGGAAAAGGCCCAAAAGAAAAGTAGACTTGCAGCCCAGGTATACTGGGGTTCAAGCACCCAAAGCTATCCAGAAAGACTGAAATGTCCTTGTTTTGGTAAGGGGAGATCACAAATACATTTAGATCTTTTCAGGTTCTGACAAACCAATCACTGATGATTGTCAGATTGTTGGGAATCTCAAATAACAGCAGAGTAGATAAAAGGTTTTATTAACATTTCCTCTTAGTCGAGTGAAAAGAAATGAAGACAAAAAGCACCTGGGGAAAATGCAAGTGCTCCATTAGCACTTTCTTCCTGATACTATTACCTTCTTCTCATTTTCCCTCAGCCTTCTGCCGGTCATCCATTTCTCAAGTTGTTTACAGCGGCCGAAGATTTAAGAGGAACAACCCAACTACAGGCTCATCTATAATTAGACGAGCCTGGTAGATAGAGTGCTGCTATTGTACAAATCTAGCTCCTAGCTTGCAGACACAGACTGTGCTGATACACAGCAGTTAGTTTGCTTGTCCCCTGAGCTTTTCCTCAAGCATTAAAGTGCTCAATAGAAACTGTCCCGCGATGAAAAACAGGAATTTGATGGAGGGATTGCAGCAATGGCTTGCTCAGCCCCCTTAGGAGTGAGTGCTAGATTGAGGGTACGTGCATGGGTGTTCATGCTCGCTCTTGAGGCTCAGTCATTTGAGTGAAAAAAGAAGGGAGAGAAAAAGTGCCTGCACACACTTGCATCGGGTCTTTGGTGCTCGGATTCCTGGCTGGATTGACAGAATGCTTCTCGTTTTCCTTTTACAGAGTCCCAGAAAACCAGCAGTATCCTAAAACTTTAGCCGGCGGACAGAAGAAAACACTCACCACCCACACTTGACTCTCTGGATGATGGGCTCTTAAACCTTTGCCAGCCTGGGTTTCAGACGAAGCAACATTTTGTCTCACCCATGGGATCTGGGCTCATTAACACATAGGAAGCTCTTTTCATGTGCAGACCCAGAGCCAGATAAGGGCATGAAATAAGCCCAAACCACCAAACAACTGTCTGTCCAACTGTCCTTTATGAATCTTTTTCTACTCTGAAACTCTATTAAGCCAGTAAATCAGAATCAGAAATACTTTAATAATCCCCGTGGGGAAATTACTTACCACTGTGCTAGACAGCTAGACAAACCTTTCAGCTCATATGCATTTTCCTTTAGCACTGCAGATAAGTAAATCTGATCACCACAACAGTGGTTTCACTGCCTGACTACACCAAGCAGGAACCAGAGGCAGTTTATGCTCTGGTCTAGGCTCACATGGTCTCCAGGTCGTGCTGTTAACCACTGCAGGACCTTTGATGTAGTCAGTATGTTTGCGTTCCTTGTTCCTGAAAGTTCAAACTGACAGAGCTAACGGCTCTTTTATAAATGTGAATGGCTTTAGGGGAATTCTTTTGTGTGTGTATCAAACACTAATATATTAAAAGTGTAATCCGAAAAATTAGTATCTGAGTTGGAGCTTCAATTTCTTGTTCCACAGCCCCTGAACAAGGTTTTCAAATTAAAACGAAAGACTTTGGGATTCAAGATGGAAGTGGGCGGCTACGTCGCGGTCTTAAAAAGGTCAGATGGCTCATGGCATTAATGGCAACAACAAAATATTCTCCAGTTTTACCAGGAGCGTAAAAGAGGTGCAAAAATGGCTGTTTGGGAACCAAACAGTGATAGATGGAGCCTTTTTTAATCATATTAAAAGGTGCAGTGTTTTTCATTAGTGTATAATCACTTGAAAATATTTTGTTTTCGTTATCTTAGAATGCGCTGGTTTTGTCTACACAGGGAACGGGTCCTCTTTTGTAAGTCCGCCATGTTGAACCACCCTGTTTCTACAGTCGCCCAGAATGGACAAACCAAATGCTGGCCCGGGTTTAACAGCCACTGTAGTTTCTCCCACATGCTTGGTTGAGGGGAGTGGTTTCATTAGGTTGTAATTTGCTATCTCACCGCTAGATGCCATTAAATCTTACACATTGGTCCTTTAAATCAGTAATCAGTATTGGCCCTAAAAAGACAAAGCATCCCTATAGGATATGGAACCAAGTTAGGAGTTCAGGGAGTAATACTCAGCCAGGGACTGTAGATGTCCTACTTATGTCAGCCACATCCCTATACCTGGAAGATAAACTAATAAAACAAATATAAAGATGTATAGCACTGCTATTAGCTGGATGCATTATTCACCCTTAGCTAATAGCCTTAGTGTTCAGAGCAGAATATATTTAGAGGGCCATTTGTTAAAATCCACTAACAGAAAACAATGTGCTGTTTTCTTCACACTTTTTCGCTTAAATATATTGCTGACAAAGCATATACATGAGATTTTGTACAAAATCCAGCCCCAAATCCAGCACTAAGCTTCCATTAGCAGCAGCTTTCTGGGTTAAATATGAATAAGTCTTGTCTTGGGAAGCAAAGCACTGCAGAAAAAACACCAATCATTCTAAGTCAGTTGTCATTGGGTAAATAAATATTAGCTAGACAAATTAAAGTGTGTAAATAATTCAGACACACAGCTGAAAGCTTTATTGCACAGAGGTAAATCTATTTTAACACAGTTCCCCATGTGGGCTTACTTCCCCGGCCCCCAGGGGGCAGACACTGAAACAGTAAAGGAAAATAAAAATGCAAGCATCATTTTGGCTAATCACCATGGCAACACTTGCAGCCTGCCACTGCATATGGAAAATTATTCATAGTGTAACGCACATCTCTGAGCTCAACTAAATACATCGATACATACAGTAAGTAAACAAACTTGTGCATGCATAAATTCCTCCAGGCCAAAACGTCATTTTATTTTGACAGTAACTGTAGTCTCCCCTTTGGCAATCACCCTCTGGTGGTGCTGCAGTGCAGTGGTGAGGGTGGGGACGTAGGTTATTATCAGTGATGTCTCAAAAAAGACAAAAAAGACACACCCACTGTTTATGTATGTATCTATTTATCAGTACTGATTAGGTGTCAGTCCCTTTCTCCCTTTAGATGTTATGGTGTCTTCGGTCATCGGTTCAGGAAAGGAT